ACAACAGCAGCAGCAACAACAGCAGCACCAAAGGCAACAACAGCAGCAACAACAGCAACAGCAACAGCAGCAGCAGCAAAAGCAACAACAACAACAACAACAACAACAACAACAACAACAACGACAACAACAAGAACAACAAGAACAACAAGAACAACAAGAACAACAACAACAACAACAACAACAACAACAACAACAACAACAACAACAACAACAACAACAGCAACAGCAACATCAACAGCAACAGCAACAGCAACAGCAACAGCAACAGCAACAGCAACAGCAACAGCAAACAACACAACAACAACAACAACAACAACAACAACAACAACAACAACAACAACAACAACAACAACAACAACAACAACAGCAGCAGCAGCAGCAGCAACAACAACAACAACAACAACCACAACCACAACAAAACGAACAACAAGAACAACAAGAACAACAAGAACTACAACAAGAAGAACAACAAAGACAAGAAGGACAACGACAACAGCAACAACAACAACAACAACAACGACCAACCACAACCACAACCACAACAACAACTACTACTACTACCACAACTACAACTACAACTACTACAACAACAACAGCAGCAGCAGCAGCAGCACAACAACAACAACAACAACAACAACAACAACAACAACAACAACAACAACAACAACGCCAACAACAACAACAACAACAACAACAACAACAACAACAACAACAACAACAACAACAACAACAACAACAACAACAACAACAACAACAACAACAACAACACACAACAACAACAACAACAACAACAACAACAACAACAACAACAACAACAACAACAACAACAACAACAACAACAACAACAACAACAACAACAACAACAACAACAACAACAACAACAACAACAACAACAACAACAACAACAACAACAACAACAACAACAACAACAACAACAACAACAACAACAACAACAACAACAACAACAACAACAACAACAACAACAACAACAACAACAACAACAACAACAACAACAACAACAACAACAACAACAACAACAACAACAACAACAACAACAACAACAACAACAACAACAAACAACAACAACAACCAACAACAACAACAACAACAACAACAACAACAACAACAACAACAACAACAACAACAACAACAACAACAACAACAACAACAACAACAACAACAACAACAACAACAACAACAACAACAACAACAACAACAACAACAACAACAACAACAACAACAACAACAACAACAACAACAACAACAACAACAACAACAACAACAACAACAACAACAACAACAACAACAACAACAACAACAACAACAACAACGACAACGACAACGACAACGACAACGACAACGACAACGACAACGACAACGACAACGACAACGACAACAACGACAACGACAACGACAACGACAACGACAACGACAACGACAACGACAACGACAACGACAACGACAACGACAACGACAACGACAACGACAACGACAACGACAACGACAACGACAACGACAACGACAACGACAACAGCAGCAGCAGCAACAGCAACAACAACAACCACAACAACCACAACAGCCACAGCCACAGCCACAGCCACAGCCACAGCAACAGCAACAGCAACAGCAACAGCAACAGCAACAGCAACAGCAACAGCAACAGCAACAGCAACAGCAACAACGGCAGCGGCAGCAACATCAATAACTGTAACGATCGCAAGCAGCAACCGCGACATAAGCAAAAAAACACATGATACTGATGAATAACGAAACACAAAGATCATTTGACATTTAAATTCTGAATCAAAACCAACTGTTATTGACTTTGGAATGCTGGAACATCCATTGCGTTGAAATCACGCCGTGGTAGCAACGGAAACAGCAGCAATTGCGGCCTTGGCCTTGGCCCGCACGCGGGCCCACAATCCAACGCGCCCACACTAGCCCACAGGGACCCACAGTGCTTGGCTTGGTCGGGTAAGCGTGGGTCGGGCTTGGGGTAGTTGTTGTTGGGAGGGTTGGTTTAGAGTTTGCGCGTCTGCACACAGAAGACCTCCTCAATGGCCCCAGCACGACAGTACAATCCAAACAACCAAGCAGAGCCACCAAATACGTAAAATATCGTAACAAACCAAATTCGTAACACGTGCAAGGGTACAATCCATTTGCCAAGGCCCGCCCGTGAGCCTGCTTGGAAGGCCTCGGTCGCCTCAGCGGTGAGCGGGCGCCGGCCTGCCTGCGCGCGGACGTCCGTCGTGCTGCGCAATGACACAGCTCTGGGACTGCTCGGACGCTGTCATCCTAGGCTCCTTTTTTGCAGCTCGAGCGTCGGCCAAACTTTGCAAGTGGGCCGTAAAGCCGGGAGAAGCCAATGCCCTCCTTGAGAGTTCCACCAGCATCAAGGGAGATTTGACCCAACAGCTGACACAACACGCCTGTCGTCACGGACTGGCACAAGCATAGCAAGGCCGTGAAGTGCACGTTGGGCACTCACGACTTCTCAAAACACGCGCTTCCGTCATGCCATCTACTGGCTCTTCTTTTTGCCGAGCGTGGATTCCATCCAACGAAGGATCCTCTTGTCGGACTCCTGTGCCTCGGGTACAAAAGATGTGCACCACTGGAAGGCGTGAGGTAGATAGGGCACTTCGTCCACTGTCACTTGTACTCCCGCATCTTTGGCCTCTCATTCCAAGCTGTCAAAAAGTACGGTCAAGCCAACAAACAATGAAGAGAACCTGGCTTCACTAGTTTTGGAGACAACAAGGTGCCAGCGGTTTAAAACATTGTTGAACATATGCCTTCCCGCACCTTCTGAGCGAGCTCCCGATTTTCGTCAATGCAAACTTCGTGCTTCGAGACTGAAATGTAGAGTGGGCAAAGGCCTTTCATGTCGTTGTACAGCGGCGAGACTGCACGCCGACGTTCTTCACCACCGCACATATCGCCCAGTTGTGGGAAAATGAACTCATAGACTCTCTGGGTAACAACCTCGAGTGAACATGCTGTAGAACAGCAATTCAGGGGTACAAAGAGTGGGGGCAGCAACGAAGTGCTGGTGAGCTGATTGGACGCTATGCGAAAGGAAATGACATATCATCTAAGGGAAACACACACACACACACACATAAAGGGCTCCATGCTCAAATTGGTGTTCACCTGTTCATCACACATCACTGCATGTTGTTGTGAACTAAGTCTGTCTCAGCTTCAGACCAAGTCCACGACGGGAAACTCCTTCATGCTGCGGGTAGGCGTAGTGTATCGGATCCAAGCACCGCAAAGCACAGCCCCGGCTGGCTGTGGGATCGAAGCAGACGTGCTGAAAGCGGTCCCATTGTTCCCGTCGTTTGACGCAGCCATCTGCAACAGTCGAAGCGCCACACCTCCGCCCGAGGACAAGCCGTAGACCACCACCTTTTCTGGAGCTGTCCTTGTAAGCAGCCATTCATAGCCTACGGGCTTGTTAACATCAGAAAATAAAACGCTCTTTTGTTTCAACCTTTCTCAACGGGACCCCCGTGGCCTCGGCAGGCATCCACGTAAGCATCCTCGATGGGGTGCTCCGGGTACAGCCGCATGTCGATCATGAACACATCGCACCTGGCCTGCCGGCCGTACTGCTCCGCAAAGCCCATAGATCCCCTGATGCTACCTCCAACAAAAGCTCCCCCAAAGATCCAAAAAATGACGCCAGCACCTCCCTCACCTCCCTCACCTGTGTGCAGGTAGCTTCCGTGCACCCCTCGCTCTGGCAAATTGATAGCTTCCACCCTCAAGTCCCTGGAGACTGGCCGGCTGCTGTCCAGCTGATTCAGGGAGAAGCGCATCCTCCTGGTAGTCAACGGGATCAGGCGAAACCAAAAGAGAACGTTGTTCAAGGCATGGCCCTCCATAGACAACTCATCCGACGCACCCCGTGCCAGGACAGGAACTGCCTTGTGCACCGCTAGCCAAATCTTCCATGCGATCATGATCACCATGTATCGGATTTCAGCAGGTAGATTTGTCCAAAACCAGAAGAAGGGCACTTCCACCGGCAGCGCCAAGGGAGAAAGCCATGAGATGCACTTCTGGATGGCGCCCTGTTCGACTATGGGTTCCATCAACCATCGTGGAAGCCCCAAGTTCACGCGCAAACCCTCCATGGCTCCGCACTATGCTCACCCAGTGCTTGCAAGCGATCCTATGTATGCAAGCTGGCTAAGTTCGGCAGGTGTCTTCCTGTGCAACACATGCAAGCAAAACATTGAAATATGTCCTTCCATCAAATTGCTGGAGGTCCAAAGGGGTGTGCTTGCGATACAATTCCAGTCATCGTGCTCAGCAGTTTGCAACATTGGCAAGGTTGACTTCATAGCTGCCACTCTAGAACAGCAACACTCAGAGCCACAACGGCGCCAGCATCGAGCCAGAATACCCTGGGGAAATCCTATTCCCTGGGAAACAAATCATCCAAGTGCGTCAAGTCAGCAATAGGACGGACTCCCCACAAAAAAGAGAGAAGAGAAAGGGAGGAAGAGAAAGAGAGGAGAAAGAGAAAGAAATTGGGCAAAACTGGAGCAAAGCACTGCTTGTCGAAACACTGGCAGGTGTGATGTGAAGTACCTGCGAAGGTACGCGATCGTGGAAAGCAGCAACTCCAGCCTTGCTGGAGGCGATTCGGACCGCTCCATGGCAGGAATGGAGTCGGGCAAGATATGCACTGCGTTGTCCTTCCAAAACTCGCTGGTCCGAACGAAAATAGCGCAATGCACCTGATCAGCGCAGTTGTCACTAGCTGCGTGCTCGCAGCCCATGGCATGTGTCTTCTTCTCTGCTAAAGAAATGCTGCTGATCACTGACTGGCGAACTGGCATGTAGCAAACGCATGCATCTGTCTGCGGCGATTAGATAGCAACCTTATGCCCTGTGCAGGGTCGTGCGGTTCCTGCGACGCGAGCTGGACTCCAACAAAGGAATTCCATCGAGGCTGCATAAACCCATGGCAGGCAGGCCGCACGGTCTTTGGGCAAGTTGCCGACGTAAAGCCGACAGGTTGGCATTGCCGGTCACCTTGAGCAGCGGTGTGTTGCTCTTCTTGCACTCTTTCACACTCAAAAAGCGACAAGTTCATGCGAGCTCACCAAAATCCCATCAGTCAAAGAAGTCGTGACAGCTGCAACCGAATCTTGGTGTGGATTGAAAAGCACAGGCATGCTCCCATCTGTCAGATCAGCCCCGATGGAAGTAGGGAATTGGTTTTTTTTTGCGAAATCATCAATCCCACTCTGATGGTCCTTCAAGAAAGCGTCACAGTGACTCTCCCCTGTCAGCCTTTGCAGCGCCCAAGGGCCAGAAAGACACTGCCCAGGGACGAACCGCAGCGAAGCGAAGAGTAGAGTAGGCGTTTGAAGAGTAGGCAGTGCCTCTTGTGCCATACATGCTACAATGCAATCCCTGTGCACATGTCACGGCACACATCAAATATGGCTGCCATGGATCAAGGCATAAGGTACCAATATCGATGAAACATGGATATGTTTCAAAAGCTATTCCGCTCTTTGACTTTCTGCTCTTTCTCTCACTGTTCACTGTGAGCTTCGGACTGCAGCTGCACTCTTCAGTGCCCTCCGCTATTCCAGAAGAGGCCTACTGATGCAGGTCTTGCCATGAAACAACTTGTCCACCAGGCCAGCGATCGGCAAACATGGCTTGCTGCGTGCCTGTTCTGTAAAGCAGGGAGGAGGCCTGAGCTGGCAGGCCACTGCCAGACTTTTATTGAGAACCTGGCACCTGACCAAGCCCGCACTCAGCACATGCTGTCAATCGCTGTGAACTCCGAGGCTGTGACACACACACACACCCTTTGCCAGATCTGTAAGAGTCCAAGCTGCAGCAGGCCTCACAAATCGGTTTAACGAAAACACGTGCCAGATTCATGGCTGAATTTGTCTGAGGCCAAGCAGCTCTCACTCTGCGCCGCAAGCTGCGAGGATGTGCACAGCCAACCCAAGCATGGATGCTTGAGCCCAAAGCGTTGATATGCTTGCAAGGAAGCAGGGTATGACCGGTATGACTACATGTGTGCGATGGTCATGGTCATGGTTCCCTCAATAAGAACCACCACAACTATTGGGCCAGAATCACAAGAGCTTGACTTGTAGCAGTTGCCCCCAATTCGAATGCCTGAGCCCTTGACTTAGAACCCTGCACTCTTCGCAATGTGCCTTGCTCATTGCAAGCCACGCCTGCTGACTTCATATTTTCCAGAGCAGCGGATGGGTAGCCCTTTAACGTCTTACTGGCATCGTCCTGCTCCGGTCTGAAGTAGGCTCTGATGCTTTCATTAACCAGTCCAACATTTCAACAGTTGCACTGCATGTCAACTCCCTAACGGGACCACGGCACAACACGTGCCTGGTGTTGCCCGGTTTCGGACGGGCCACAAACTCAAGATTCAGCCGATGCCTTTCTCACCAGACTCGGCCATCTTTTGTCACCTCCACAATCTTACGGCACAAGACAAGCAAGCAGAAGGTTGTGCCGGTTGTGCCCGGCTAGTTTGGTGTTAGGCCAGGTGCCTTCAGGTTCAATGTGTCGAAGAGTTTCTTGAAGCTGTCGAAGCTGAGAGGACCAGGATCTACTGGTAACGAGTGCCAAGTGTGCCAAGTGTGCCAAGTGTGCCAACAGATTTGTCCTCCTGCTTCTTCAGCTGCAAGCGCCAACAGGTCTTCGGCCTCCTCGGGCTTGCAGACCTGCAGCAAGAATGCTGTTCCAAGACGCTCCCGAGGGGCACTACTCCACTGGGCGCACACCTCTGGCGGGACTCTGAAGCGGAGCAGGGCAGCGCGGAGAGCCTCCATCCGACATGCAACGGAGTGTGTGGCCCGAGGGGTAGACTTTCTCCCTTGCGCCCGGCCTCGACTGAGATGCTCGAGCCTTGTGCCAAGGCCCGGAAGCTCGCCTGGAGCGTTTTTGGGTTTTTGGGAGACGTTCTGAATGACATCGTGCCAGCATCTCCAGCATTGCCAGCATCACGGGCGATTGGAATTGATGATGGCGGAGTTTATTTTATCAGAAAGGTCCCTGAAAAAGAGTTCTCTTGAGTCAGGAAAAAAAATCCGTGAAGCGTCTTGAGTTCGACCTTCTTGGTCTCATCACATTTGCGCCAGACAAAGGCATTGCCCTCCAAACGAGCATGGGAGCAAAGTGAGAGCAAGGAAGCCTCTGAAAAGAATCGTTTCTAGGCAACATGTCATTCCCCAATTTAGCTGACCAAGAAAACTGGAGCCAATAAAGGAGGCCGCCGAGCAGGAACATAAGATGAAGCAAACCAGCACTTCTGCCAGCTTTCTCCTGAGGTTACAATGAAGGATGATGTTGTGTCAAGAACAAACATGTCCTTTTAGTTTCCTGATCATCCAAAAGGGATCCCTGAAATTTACGCGCTCCCACATACTCCCAACACCTCCGGCACAGCAGGCCAGCCTCTGCAGCAGCAGCCATGGCTGTGGCAGCAGCCTGCTGCGCCTCCTCCCGCCAGATTGGGGGCTTGGAGGAATCCCGAAAACAGGTCGAAGTCACTTGGCGCGCTTTGCAGGTGAGTCCTCTTTCTCAGCTTGGCGAGCTCGTTTCGCCCGCGCTTTGCCAGATCGAGCCTGTAAGGGCGAGTATTGGCATCAGTCCATGAACGGGGGCTTGATTAGCCCAGGAGGCTGTTGTGTGTCATTGAGTAGCGACCCTTCACAACTGGCGTGAGTGTTGACCAGGGGCAAAAAGCCGTACCTTCGCCTCCCGGATAGGCTGGCATGCACTACCTTCACCTTAGGCAGCAGGCAGAACTCTCCAAGGCCTCTCTGAGAAGTCACAATGGAATCAGACGTTGCATGTGTGCACTAATTCCCCTACAACCTGCACTGGCTGGTCTTACTCCCTGAAGGACGGACGATTCAGGACCGTGCCACCATCCGCCTCATCCTCGGAGAGCTCCTTCAATAGTCGTTTTGTCAGAGGTAAGAAACAATGCGTCGACCCCCAGTCTCTGCAAAGATTGCAAAGCAAGGATTCCCATCTCAGTTTTACCGGCCAAGAATTGCAACACTAGGTGTATGACCAAATACAACACGCGCTACTGTAACTTTGCAGCCGTGACCAGCTGTTCCAGCTGGGGAGACTGATAATTCTGTGGATCGGTTGGGCCGGGCCGGAGGATGCCATGCCTCCTTCGGAGGCTCGACAAGACCTTTTCATGAACATCTCATGGCACCTCCCGGTAGGCCTCAACTCACCCGAAAATTCAATAATTCGCCTACTGGGCAACGGCTGCGACTGCCAGTATTGAATTCGAAGGTCTCAGGTCTAATAGGCAAAAAGCAGCTCAGACTTGGAAGCATTATTCCTGACCCTCAACAGGCCCCGTGCAGCATGCATGTCTCGATTGACGCAATAAGGGATGTGCCTACGAGCTCCGTTGCTTCTACATGCTTTACTGAGTTGTATTTCATTCCGCATGTTACATCACTCCTGGCAGGGCCTGACATGACAATGTATATTACAGTACTGACGAGCCAGCTTTGTACATGTGTACACCCAGCAAATCTTGGCCAAGAGCGCCAGGTATTCTTAACCATCCGTGCGGACAGTATGTTGAGTTTGCAAGACTTCTGAAAGCAGTCTTCCTGCGTGCTCGGCATGCAACTTCCAAGGGACAAACCGTTCACTCGGCGCTTTGGCAACTGGCTGGCATAACTTGGTTAAACCTCATCAGGAAAATTTGCAACTGCTGTGAACCACCAACCTGCGTTCTTGCAGCGAATTTGGCAGAAAGCAGGTCAGATCCTTTCCGCAGAGAGGTTCACAACCATCAAGTCTCAGAGCGACTTGCTGAAAAAGTTGGAGCCTTAAATGGATAGTCCTTGGCCTCCAAGGATGCACCAGAGGACAACCCTTGCTGACATCCTTGGAAACCTGGTGCGGAAAAGCCCACAGGGAGGCAGCCAATTGCAAACCGGCCCCAAGGCAACGCAATCCAGAGCTCGAGTTTGGAAAGCCCAGCGCCGGTTGTGGCACGGAGCTACTCTCTTGGCATCTCGTAGCCTCTGCGAGAGCAGCGCTCTCGGGAATCAGAAGGCCTGAGAAACGCCTCAGCCGAGCTGGCCATGCACTGCAACCCCGGTGCTGCCATGTCGCTGCTGAGCCGCTATTGGCAACTCCCTTCAGGGCTTCATAGACTCCAAACCAAACCATAGCCTCTGGCAGGAAGTACACGGCATTCCTTGGCCATGTCAAAGCCCCGAAACCAGCAAGAATGGCCATGAAGCACACCCAAACGAAGCTGAAAGTATTCTAAGTATTCCCCTCGACAAGCATCTCCAGCCCGCCCTTTGCAAAGCCTCCAGGGCCCTCTTCGTCGAGGATCTGGGCAAGGGTCATTGGCAAAGTGACTCACCAAATCTGCTCCAACGCATCGCAGTCGGACCCAGTTCAGCAGTTCAGCCTTCTGCGTGGCTCTCACAATCTCTTCCCAGGTTTCAGAGACGCTGAAGGGCGTGTCATCCTGTCGAGAGTTGAGCGTGTATAAAGACTGTCCTATACCGTCATGATCTGATTCAGACACCATCCAAGTCGGGAATGCTTTCCTTGAAGGGCCGAACCCCCAGTCGAAATCAAGACATCAATCCGGCTTGGTTTGCCAGGTGCCTGTTGCGGAACCACCAAAGGTGCAAACACCAGACCTAACTAACTGCCCGTCCTCATCGTCCTCGCTGGCTTCCAAGGCCAAGCGTTGCATAATAACGTCCTGCGATGTGGCAGTAGCTCAAATCATCTCGCTCGCGTTATTTTGACAAAATTGACCTCATCCTTGAAATTCCCACAGGAGTGCCCTGCTGGTTGAGATTGCTACGCTGGCAAACGGGGCTAAGGGAAGCTGCTCTGACGGATTTGTCAGTCCGGAGGATTGGTCAGGTAGCCAGTACAGAAGCCAGCAGCGCCGCCCCAAATGAAGGGCTCGAACCAAATGGGGACCTGATGCTGCGAAACCAGAAGGCAACATGGGCGACAAACAGAGTTGAGGCGTTCTACAACCTGGAGCAAGGAAAGGTATCCTTGAAGGTTGGCCCATCCAAACGCAGGAAGCAAGCGTTTGCACCAGCACTGCATCTCTTGACTGGTGAAAGTCATTGTTGTGTGAGGTTGCGTGGTGAGTGTGGGTGGGCGGTGCGATTCCGCAGTGCACAGCAAACCAGTCCACAGACATGACATACAACAGAATCGTGTAAACCACAAGGGGGAGTATCTTATGCGGAGTTCCACACACGTATGGGTTCTAGAGCACGTAGAGATTGCCGTATCATGCAACGACGGCAAAATAAGGCCACTAGGGCGTGCGCAAGGCTGGCCGCACCACCAGAATCACGCTTGAAGCATGTCCAATGTGAGGCGTCGCCATGTTCGAATTGGTGCCGGGGGGGTCGCTGGACTGCGAAAATTGCCGCTTGCAGATGGGGCGCTCCAATCGTCTCCAACAACCCTGGCGTCTGGTCCTGGCCGAGACGATGCAAGCCCTCTGCACGAAATGCAAAGCAATCCATGTCGTGTGCTCGTTTTGGCATACCACAATCACTCCAGTTTGACTAAGCATCCATTTTAATGCGTCATGATCCCCCTGTTCTCTTGACATGACCGCCTTCAGCACCTCATAGATGAAGCACTGGAAAGCCCCAAATGGGACCTGAGGCAACGGCGTGCTTGGTTTCAAAGCCCGGAAATCGTTTTGTGTATTGTCTACTGGGCCTTTCACAACCGCAGGCACGCTGAGGCCTCTTGTGCGGTCAGGCCACCCCTCGAATGGCAGTGAGCATCAGGTTGCGCGCCAACCGCTTGCTCACCTCGAGAGGATGAGCATGGCTTGGGGCCTGAAACTGGGACTGCAGAATCGAGGCCCTCTTCATTTGGAAGAATGGATTGGGGGGCTTTCACCAAGCCGTGCCAACTCTTTCAACAACTTCTCTTCGACACGTATATAAAATGTGCTCGACATCTACGCCCGGATGCCTGGGACGGATTGGGCTTGAAGTAGACATTCCTCAGTTGAGTTTGCCAAATCTGGCGAGCTCTGCCATGTTGCGAGCCCCCTACCCCAGCTCTTTGCCTGAAAATCCTGCCACTTCTGAGCAAGGGTCCTTTTGCGTTCCCTTCCCATGCTATCTTGCCGGACCCTACTAGGTCCTATTATACCCTTTGAGACCTTGCTAGGCCCCATGATGGACCTGTTTGCCCAAATGATCTTGAAGGCTCCTGCTCCCTGCTGGGGCCTTTGACGATCAGTTCATAGAGTACTTGCGCTCACGGATGCAGAATTCCACACGATGTGCGGGAATGTAGCAGAGTTTGTCTACAGTGGGGACATGGAAAAATTGCCATAATGCCTCCAAAACTCTGAATGGCCTCACCTGCGTCTGCTGCGAGCCCAGCTTGAACCTTAGAAAAGGACTCCAACCTCGCCCGCAGAGTGTTCAAATGTAGTTGGGAGTGCTTGACAGTGCCATCCAACATTTCCAAATTACCACCAATGCCAAACACCAACACAGCTTTTGAAGGAAACCACTTAGAAAGGCTCTCTCTCTCTCTCTCTCTCTCTTGAGTACGAGGCCTGCTTGCTGATGTCGATCACCGGTGCTTTGACAAAGGCGCCCGAGCACATTGCCACCACACCTGCCATTGCAGTCTGCTGCACGTCACAGGGAGAGCTTGCTCTTGGCACCTGAAGGAATCATCAGCAAAAACTTCATGTTGGGGTCATTGCCGTTGATGAAGGGCAAGCCAACCTCAGTCGGCAAAGCATCCAAACTGCTTTGAAGGCCAACGCAAAGATCCCCGCTGCAAAGCGAGTGAAATAGTTAAAGCCTGCCATGAGGAATCCTGCGTTGGGTGCCTGAGCGAGAATGCCAAATTCAGAAAGTGAGCTTCCCAACGTTTACCTACCAGCCCCCAGCCTCGCGCAGGACATTCAGCTCAACGCCGTTAAGCAACGCCTCAAATCGCGCTGTCGCAACCATCTTTTCGAACGTAAAATAAAATGCTAGCAAGCTTCCTGCGGACCCTCTGGCGGAATCGGCGAAAGATTTGATTGTACCCGAGCCTGTGCCACGAAGCAGCGTAGTGCAGGACAAGATACAAAGGTATATCAAGAGAGTTCGGCCTTGATTGTCTCCAAAGGATAGGTCACAGCACAAGAGATGACTGCTGCCTGAGATGCAAGCAATGCTTGCAAGTCACATGTGCATACCGACATTGACAAGGGTGGTGCAAAAGACTCGGATGCCTCGTTCTGGCCTAGGCACTGATGAGGCCAGGATCAAGTCCTGGATATAGCCTTCGTCGCTTCCCCTTGTCATGACCAGCCAGGCATAGGGGTAAGCTTTCACCTCCCGGACCTGAGCGGAAGCCCAGAATCGAGGCTAAAGCCATGCTAGAATTGACATATCGTCTCCTTCACGGCCAGGGCGCGCCACCGTTCTTCCCGGAGCCGAGGACCTACCGCCGGGCCCGAAAACCCGAAAACTACAATGGCGCTCCAGTCAACAAGTGGATTCAACCAATGAAAGTTCTGAGCGCTTGGAGATTCTGAAAATCCTCGCAGAACAACCATCTTGCAAACACGTCTCTGCCCAGCGGCAGGGTTGGGCTCCAGCTTCACGACGGCAGTCAGCACCTGCCAGCAATAGGAACAAAAATGACAATGGCAAACTTAGAAGAGAGCACATGTTGTCCCTGCTGGGCCAGAAAGCCTAAGAAACCCTCCGGAACTTTCTTCGGCATTTCCGTATTGAATGCTATGGTCAGGCCTTGCTGTCCTTGTCCTCGCCGTTCTCGCGGCCGAGCCATATGATGCGCCCGACCTGCCAACGCACCCCAGAATCAAAGTACTGAAATCTGACTTCAGGGTTGACAAAGCAACTTGGTGCAAACTCGGCCTTGCCCTTGTCTGGGCCTTGTAGCACGAGAACCTCTCAGCGTCTTCTGGGGCGGAATGCTAAGTCATGAGTGCGTGCCATGTTGCAACTGCCTCATCTCGAATCTGCGGCTGCTGGAGAGCAAGCGGAGTATACCGCAGTTGATCGTCGCTGATGCTCTGAAAGAAGACTGTCGTCGATGTGACTGGGTCGTACCCTGCCAAGTCGGATCGTCAGCGCCCTCGATAAAGAACTGCCAACTTGTCTGCAACAGTCAGCAAACACTCGTCTCAGCCTGTGTACAGGTCTCCGGCTTTCAAAAACCTATCATAAGCGAGGGATGTCTTGGCAAAGGCCTCCGCAGGGGCACATCAAGTCTGTTGAGCTAGTCGGACGCAAGAATCGCTCCTCTTCCACTTCTCGGACCTTCTGGTTCTCAATGGCCTGCCATGCTTGGGTCCCGCAGGTGTTTTGCTTGAACGTGTGTGAACACTATCCTGGGTGCTGTGACTTGCAACTTTTCTGCTTGCAGCCAAGTATAGCTCATCTGCACCTGTGCATGCGGACGGCCTTGCCAAGTCGAGCAAGGTTTGTGCCCATCTGCAGGCGGTAGAAGCGAAGGCTGGCCCTAGTGGCCGCCTGAGCAGGGAAGTGCATGACATGAGTGAGAGAGGAGGTAAACAGGCAGAGTAAAGAGAGAGTACTAGGAACGTCTCTGAGCGATCAGCATTGACTTGCTTGTCACCATTGTTGTCGCTGAAGGCTTGATTTTCGTAGAACTCCCTTGGATGGATTACACTGCATTACGAGATCGTGCCTGAGCAAGTCAAGGCAAACATGTCTTGTGGATGACTCCCATTCAGAAAGGTCGCATCAAAGGAAGATACGCCCGCAGGATCTCCGGATAAACCTGACAGCTGATTCCTCTCCCTTCCAGCTGGTCCGCCCAAGGCAGTTTCTCACCTCCCACCCACGTCCCTGAGAAGCTGTGCCCTCCACTGCAGGCCAGTGCGCCTTGAGTGACAACCACTCCTCCTTGTACACGTCTGCCTGCGCTTCATCCAGCATGTCGCCTTCGAGGCAAGCTTGCAAGGAAGGTGTGGTCCTCACATCCTGACATATCAATAAAGACTACTAGCAATGTATATAACGGCTCATATCTTCGAGCTTAATCTTTCGCCCGTTTGCCTATGTCGCGGATCTTCTTGACGATGGATGTCGAGACCCTGCTGGGAGCTCCCTTCTCAGAAGGAGCGGCCTCAAGCCCGTTCGCTAAAACTGCCCGCCACCGGACATGCTACCATACTCAAGCGTGGATGAGACAACGCCAGGGCACGGCGATGCTCTGCATGACTTCTTGAAGCCTGGCACCGGTTCCTCTTGCAGACTCCATGAGCCCAGTGTACATTTTGGCCTGGCAGCAAGCAGTGTTTATTTGATACCCATGCAAGAAGCCGCAATGTCTTGTCTGACGTAAAGAGCTGCTGACATCTGTTGACTGTTCAATATGTTAGATCAATGTTAGGACATCGCTCCAAAGTCTGAGTACGGCGCCAACTTGTCATCATATCTCAGCAGCTGGTCCTCTTGCGACTCTGCCTGGCGCTCTGCCAGGGCTACGGTGGGCTCTGCACAAGTAGCCTGCCTCGTTCAGTCGGGCCACTACCTTGCCCACCTCGGTCATGAGCGTGGCCACAAACACAAAAGCAACGGGGGAAAAGCATGATATTGTAATTCTAGAAACAGCAGTAAGTGGCAATCGGTCAACAAACAGCCCGCCTTGTCAGCCACGCCAGAGACCTGTCCCTTCGCCTGCCATCCGAATTCCAAATGGCACTTATTTGTACCACACGTCACTCGGCCTTATCAGCTGCACTGTACATCTGTCCCTTCGCCTGGCGTCGGGCCGCCAGGCAGAGTTGGTTGGTGAATGGCTCATTAGCGAACCAACCACAGAGTATCAAACTCTTTCTCACAGTCTCTCTGGGCCTTATCAGCCACGCCAGAGATCTCACCGGCAACGTTCGCTGCCTGCCAATGTCGCGTCCGCACGTCAGCGCACTCACCACACTCACCGCACTCACGGCACTCGCACATCGGCCTTCTCCAAGACAACAGGGGCGGTCACAGCCGGACTGCTGAGAGTCGAGGCAGCCGGACTTGGTGCCTGGCAAAGAATGAGGTGCACTTGGGTCTCAGACGCTCCAACAGGTTCCTCCATCCAACGCTGGCCGCCATTGGGTCATTTGGGGTCGCTTGCAGCTGGCCCTAAGCCCATTGTATTGGCCACAAATTACAGCAAAGTCCGTCCCAAGGCAATATATTTGTGACATCCCTCAGCGTTACATCTAAGCGTGGCAAGCCTTCTTTGAAATCATGAACAGCGGCGGCACATGGCAAGTCCATCAGCAAAGTGCTATCTTGATACAGACCTCTTGGATTGGACATCAATTTTCACCAAGGAAGGGTTCGAAACTGAAAGAACAGCCCTCGCCTGCAGCTGCGGCCTGCTCAGTGCCAGGCCCATGGCCAAACCCAGGCCCAGTGCCGCCACCAGCGCCCAGGGCGCCGCGAACTCTGGCCTTTTGGCATCTGACAAGAAGTTCAATTCCCCAACCACCAATCCAATCCAAACCAATTAAGGGCAAAGTGAAATACTTGTTGCCTCCCCAGCACCGCGCGGCAAAACCATCGTGATCGTTGCAGGCGCCAGTCCCATAGACTTGCATCGGATAACAACACTTCACTCGAGATCTGCTGGAGGACTTCCTTCATTTAGATGGACGTAGGGGGCTATGAGGTGCCCTCGACCTCTATTTGGCCGGGTCACTTGGTTTCCTCGCGCAACACTTCCATCTCTTTGGGAACCTGCCAGGGGCTCGGGGGTAATCATGGCGCTCCAAGCACAAATGAACTGCCATCCAAGCACGAAAAGAAACTGCCATGTTCACTTTCAGCTCGAGGCTCAAAAGCAGAAACTTCGCCCATGTTCGACACAGCACCATCGCCAGTCAAGCGCCTCAAGCTGGATCTGGGGGAGCTCGGATCCAGCTACCTGGCTCGCCTCAGAGACATTCTTCCGATGGCCTGGCAAGGGATCGAGCACACCTGCGGACCTCAAAGCCATGCCACAGAATCGCGGAGCTTCAGCTGGGCTAGGAATTGATGTTTTCCAGCTGAGCAAAGTGAAACGCATCCTTCACGTTCGAAGGTTTGCATTGCTTTTCGTAGATTCCGTGAGCGACCTACAAACATGCCACAGGCGCCGTTGACCTTTGGCCGATCCAGAACGGCTGTGCTGTCCTGCAGTTTGAGTGCCGGGCTGAAAGCCTTGAGGCTGTGACTCATAATGCCTGCGTGTGACAGGCCCTCTCCTCTGGGGCGGCATTTGCCTGCTGACCACGCAAGGCAGACCTGGGAAGCATGCAAGCATACCCTGCAACCTCATGTTGCGTGCTGCTGTGGTATTTTGCTGGTGGTCTGTTTGTGTGCTGCTCGCTTTCCTGCTACAAGTGTTGCTCGCTTGCTCTTGCTTACGTCTCCGTTCTGCTTGCTCCTCTGCTTGCTGGCTTTTTTACAGCGGCCTCGCTTTCTTGCTTGCCTACTTCCCGACCTGCTGCTCCTGATCAGAAGGTCACCCATGCTGGAAAGGCTGTTTGGATGGTCCTTGCGACCAATATACAAATATACAAAAGCTTGTGTTGATGCTGCCAAGCCACTTCGAGTTTAAACTTCTCGGTGACACAAAGGTATCCGACGCACCTAGCGGGTCTCACTCTGGGGAATTGCACAGGCATGCATCCATCTTGGCAAGGCTTCGCAGTTTGGCCACGTTGGCCAAGAGAAAACATATTCGGTCTTTGTTGCAGATCCTGCATAATCCCGCCGGCCTTCGTACCATAATTCTGCCACTGGCCTGCCGAATGCCCGAGGGGGCGGCATTTAAGGAAAAAACTGCGCCTCAAGGCGAAAATGGCGACCGCCAGGACAAGCCTTGCGCTCCGCTGGCACCATTCTCTTCAAATGTGGGTTTGAACAAATCAGATCTAGAGTTTGCCATGCACCGCTGGCTAACCTTTAGCTTCACGTGTGAAGACCTGGTCTTGGCTCTCTACCTTCTAGATAGATATGCAAGCCAAGGGCAAGAACCACCACACAGCTTGTCAAGCCCGGAAGAACATGCACTAGCGCAAAAACATGAGAGCATGTTACTTCTGTTTCAAAGTGAGCCAAAGCCAACAAAGCCGCGGCACGGCCACGCCAAACGCCCAGGTCTGCGCCCTCTCTTCTGTTCCGTCGACCTGCACAGGATAGATAGGAATGCACTCAGGTTTCTAGCTGCAAAATAGCAATATGGATCGGGCGTCCGATGTATAGCATATATTACACAGATCAGTTGATTGCCTGGCCGATGCTGCATCTTGTGTGTGCTGCCAGAGAGGCAGCATGGCTCAAGGTGTTGACAATTCAGTGCTTGTTGGGCTGAGCTGAGCTGAACATGTGTCAGGTACCGCTTTGTGACAACTATGGCTTTCGCAGTGTGCGTTGCTCTTGTTCGCTAGGACCGATCTGCAAGGTGCCGGATTTGAGCTCCAAATGTTACGGAGAAATGCGCAAAATGAAAACCTGAATCCTGCCCATGGTCGAGCTTCTCACCGTAAACCAGTATCTTTGAAGAACTAGTTGTTCGCTTGCATGATTGGCTGGCAAGCAACCGCAAAAACGCTATCAGCATGTCCAGAACTTCTCCAGATCTCCGCAATGACTTGAAGGCGCCTGGCAGCCACTCGTCGTGAAAATTGGCTTCGATAGGAAGCTGCATCTGAACTGGCTTCAAGATTGCCGGGCTGCCTGCCATGCCATGCCATAGGAGCACTTGGCATGTTGCGTCTCTCTCTCTCTCTTCGCTCTCTCTCTCTCTCTCTCTCTCCCTCTCTCTCCCTCTCTCTCCCTCCCTCTTTCTCCCTCTCTCTCCCTCCCTCTCTCTCCCTCTCTCGCTCTCTCTCTTCTACTGGCTTCTGATGATTCTTCAAGCGAAGTGCTCTAGGTTCAAAGAAGCATATATGACGGCGATGGGTTGTTTGAACTACACTCCACCTCACAGTGCCTGAGCCAAAAGCTTGTCCAACTTACCGATACAACTCAAGCACCTGGAAGCCTTGACAACTTGCAAGAAATCAAATTTCTGCTGTGCAACGATTCTTCATCGGCTCTAGCCATGTGTGGCATCACGACTTCAGCTGCCACTAGGTGCGTACCCGGTGAGACGGTGAGAGCAAAGGAAAATGATCAAATTTGCTCTCATCGACCCACGCAGCGACAAGCTGCAAGCTGCACAGCATCTACACTTTATGTTCTTGGGCTTGACATACACGGTGTTGTTGTCCTCAGTCTGGCAACACAACCTACTCGTGGCATATGCCAGTTAAGCCTACAGCGCGATTCCGGGCATTCGACGATAACAATGCCCCCAGTATGAATCTACCTGCTGGCAAACACCCTAGAGGCAACAGCATCAAGTTAGGATCCAGTGCTCGCCCATCAACACTTCGAAGCATTGAGCCCGGTTCCGGCGGATCCCATTGCGAATCAACTGCTACAAACCAAGTCGCGGCCCCATCGCTGTCATCCAACTCAATGGCAAACTTTCCAGTCCCCACCACCAAGGACAGCAGTTTGCCAGTCTTGCCGTTCAGCGCTTCGTCCTCCAAATCTAGCAGCTTCACCTCACGGTTTCCGCCATTCCAAAATGTACATGAAGCCGAATCGACACTTCTCCAGCCTTGTCGCCTTTCCGGAACATCACCGGCTCGCTGCTCTGCTTCGGCTCCTCCTTCTTCTCCTCCAAACCGAAGAGTTTCTGATTTCCGCCTCGCGAAGAAGGATGGTCCCTCCATGCCTCCTTCTCAATCTCCGAGAAGTCCCAGCCATCCTGAGCTGCAGCCGGACGTGGGAGATGGATCCGGGCAAACATGCCGACAACCAGAAACAAGACACTGCGCATCACACATGCATGAAATTAGAATGACAAAGTGACAAATGTTTCATGTTGCCAGGGAGCGTACTCTTTGAGCCGCCCGACCACTGGACCGCGCAGTAAAGTGCTTGTACCAGCCGGCGAGCGCCTTGATCTGTTCAGGGGTGAACTGATCCAGGGTAAAGTCCAAGCAGTTTGCCTGGGTGGAAAAGCCCCAGCACAAAACCGCAAAAGCAGAGCAGCTTCAGCGCAAAATCAGACAAAGCACATCCTCTGGCTTGAGCGACAAGGTGGCCAGGGAAAAGGTGGCATCTCTGCCTGCCCAAAGCCGGCTGTAGCCCTCGCCAACCTGACAAGCGGAGCCATTCACTCGCAATGGAGGTGCCCAACTGGTCTCTCAATGGCACGCTGTTGTGGCCAAACAGCCTCTGGTGATGTCGGCCAAAAGCACGATGGATCTCTGCGCTCCTCTCTGCCCCGCCTTTATGTTTTGACTGGTAGACACGTTGACCTAAAGCCGCACACTCGGAGGTTGCGATGGGGAAAGGCAGGGCAAGCAGGCAGTCGTCCTGCTGCTTTATGATCTTCCGCTAAGTGAATCACACTGCTGTACATGCGCCTTCACGTCTGGGAAGCCACACCGTCTACGGTGCCTCTGCAATCAAAGGTCTAGCGCATCAAGCGAATTGACTTTACACTAAGGCCTGCAGGCATTGCCCTGCCTGTAAACAACCGGTCTCTCATTTCCCCTCCATCGGTGCTTTCCTCAAGAGCGGTGGACCGCGCTCCAGGTCCAGAGCCGCCGGGGCGCCCTCGTAGACGCCGCCCGGCTCAAGGTTGCTTCCTTTCCAAGTCAGGCTGCCCGGACGAAGTGTCGCTCCGTCTCCGGCATCGCACATGGCAACACTTGCACCTGTCATGATGGTCACCCCGTGGCCGATCTTGAAGGTCGTGAACTTGAGCCGGAAATCCTCAAAGGAGTGGCATCGAACCTGGCCGTCGTAGTCCACGGTCACGTCGTCCCCCACCTCCGTAAAGGGCGCGTCCACCAGGACCATCTCGTTCATGCAGAAGAAGCGCTTCCCCACGCGCGCGCCAAGCAGGCGCAGGATGGGGGCTTGCCACCGGCTACCCGCCGTCTGAAATGGCAGCTTGAAGACCCGCTGCTGCGCAGTGAGTGCAGTAAACCAGCGTGTGACGGTGGTGGAGTAGTACGCGTTGCTGTGTGGAGCGCTATTGTTGAAGAGCAGGTTGCCCAATACCACTGAGAAGAGATACCAGGAACCCAAGGCATAGGCCATGTAGATCAAGAGCAGAGCAAAAGGCTCCCAAACCTGCGTGATCACCGGGCAGAAGCGGCGGCTGCTGAGCAGCGCCAGACCCGTGACCATGCCCTGCACGCCGCGATAGAGGAACACGTCCATGACGCTGGTGCTGAAATGGTGCCACATCCGCGCCAAGCAACTCGCACGCTCTGGGCCCTGGCGGGTGCCTGCGGATTGGTTGCCGAGGCGGCGGAACTTCATCGCGGGATTCCCGAAGTAGCTCATGTTGGGCTCTGTGGGCCGATTCGGCAGCCAGGTGCCTACACCGCAAAAGCTGCCCTCCGGAAGGCCCTGCGGCAGGTGGTTGTGATTGCCCAGGAAGGTGTGGTCGCTCATGACCGTCTTGCAAGGCACTTTGAACTGACCCTGGTCCACGTCCACACTGGTGAGGATATTGCCCGTGGCGAAGAAGCACCCGTGGCCCACCTCCAGCGTCTCTGGCAAGGTCACCTGCAAGCCCATGGCGCAGCCGTGCCCAAAGGATGCCCCGCACATCCGGATGAACCATGGCACGATGGAGGCGTCGGCCAACATCTCCGAAGCCTGCAGCACCATAGACATCTTCAGCGCAGCGATCTGTGCGCGAATGCTCACCAGGGAGCGCTGGAAGGGAGGCTGCACTTTCGGCAGCAGCCGGCAAAAGGCGGCTGTCACCAGGAGCTGCATCACCGTTTGCAGCGTTGAAACGGCGAAGGCCAGGACCGGGATCCACTTCAGCTGGTCCAGGTACATCAACGGCAAGGCGTCCACATGATCATCTGCCACCATCTCACTCCGCACCTGGGGCTCATTCTTGTAGAAGGAAGTGATCAGTTGAAAGCCCACGGCGGCCAGCACGGGCATCGCAGCCTTGGGGATGAGGAGGACCCAGTACCCCGTGGCCAGCGCCGCCGCCCAGCGCCGGAAGCTCCGCACCTCCTCCGGCTTCACCAGGCGGCTCTGGTCCAAGGGACCCACCGCCTTTGCCGGCACGCCCGACACCCGGCTCTGCACCACCATGCGGCTGCTCACCGTGGACAGCGGCTCCACGTAGCCCGCGGGAGCCACCTCGCAGCCCGGCTCCAGGGTGCAGTTGGGGCCCACGTAGGCGCCCGCTCCCACCTTCACCGGTCGCAGCGCCATGCGGCGCTCCCCGTAGTTGACGGCCGTCAGGTGCCTCGGCCCGTGCACCGTGGCAAGCGCGTCCACGGAGATCAGGTCATAGGCCACGCACCTCGCAGTGATCACCGCCGTGGAGTGGATCTTCGCTCCCAGGGCCTTCAAGGCGAGGTTGCGCAAAAAGAGGAAGGAGATGCTGCTCCCCTGATGCGCCGCCTGCCCCACCAGCGTGCCCTTGGCCACGTGCTCCACCAGCCAATGCCGGAGATAGTACAAGCTGTAAATGTCATGATCTCCTTCGCGGTAGCGCCCAATAAGAATCCACTTTGTGGCCACCAGGATGAACACACGGAGAAATTGCTCGAAGGTCAGCAAGGCAAGCAGCACGATGGCTATGAGCCACATGGGCGCCACAAAGATCATGGGCAGCAAAATCCGTTCAGCGAGGAGTAGCCGTGCTGCAATCATCACCGGCTGGGCCAAGATCGCCAGGCCCTGCACCATCGCGCACAGCTTCGGCCAGCTGTGGGGTCCGTAGCTCTTGTTCTTGCCGCGGCCCAGCATGTAGGGCCCCAGCTCGGTGGCCAGCGACAGCCTGCTCGCGGAAGCCAGCAGCCCGCTGAGGCGACTGTTCTGGGACCAGGTAGCGCTGTTCAAGCGAGCAGGAGCCTCCGGCACCGCAGTGAACCACGTCTGGCCCGCCACCACCAAGGTCTGCGCTTTGGGCGTTCGCCCAGACACCTCGGAGATCACCAGCTGCGGGCGATCCTCCACCAGCGTGGCCCCACAGCTCATCGTGGCCACGGCTGCCACCGTCCGGGCGCAAGTGCCCAGACCGGCGCTGAGGCGCACGCGCTTCGAAGGCATCAAATGCGGGCGCCACACCTCCACCAGCGCCGCCAGCTGCAAGTGGGACAGCACCAGCGGCTGGGTGCCAGGCGCCAAGGCCACGCACGCGGCGTCCTCCGCCTTGGCACCAAGGTTCGCCAGCGGCGGTTGGGTGAGGAGCGCAGAAGCGCCGCTCACGTCCACCAACGCAGCGCTGGTTTGGGCCTTCCAGGCCAGCTCCGCCAACGTCTGCGCCTCTGCCATGATGGCACAAGGTTCAAGCTGCTGCAGCTGCTCCGCCGAGTCTTCAGTGTTGTCAAGCAAGCAAAAGGCGAAACCCTCCATGCATGCCGCAATCATCGCAGCCATCTGCTGGTATCCTTGCAAAAGGATGGCAACGGGGGCAGGACGGCGTGGCTTGGCGCGACGCAACAGCCGCTGATAGGCGCAGGCCAACCTCCGCATCTGCAGGTAGCTCAAAGCTTCGCACTGCGACTCACGGCACAGGCTGTGGGGATTCATCGCCACTGAAGCCAAGAAGACATCCACGAAGGTCTCGCCCGCAGCGTCTGCGGTGACCTCGTCGTCCGAGTCCGCGGACTCCTCGGACAAATGCTGCGCAAGCGCCTGCACCGTGGGGTACTCAAAGAGCATCTGGAGGTCCACCTTGTGCAGCCTGGGTCGTGCGCGCATCTGGGTGATGAGCCGGCCAAAGCCGCCCGAGTCCACACCCAGGTCCTCCATGAAGTGGTCCTTGCGACTCCAAGCTTCCGTCACCTGCGGCGCCAGGCACTGCGCGATCTCCAGCTCCAGCTCAGAGCACTCGCTCTTGTCAAAGGCCTCCCATCCGTCCTGCTTCACCTCCCGCACGACCTCCTCCAAAGGCACCGCGTTCCGCAAGAGCTTCCCCGAGGCGTTGAACTTCCAGTCGCCGCTGTCAACCATTTTGACCTGGCTGAGCATGTAGCCCCGGCCCAGTGACAGCGCCTTCTGCTTCAACTCGGCCTCGCTGGAGCTGCCGGAGACCAGCAGCACCAGCCGCTGATTGTCCTCAGAGACGCGGGCCTCGCAGTGCTGAACTCCCGCCAGCTCAGCAATGGCCTGCTCGGTGGCAATTGCATTCGGACACCAAGACTGTCTTCTCCGGAAACGACTTTTCCTTCGGAAGCTCGAAAAACCATTCCGAGGGAGTTAGACCCAATGATCAGAGGAACCCGTAAGTCCCCTAGTGGAAAGCAGAACTGTTTTGTCTGGCAACCTGGCAACTTCAAGGCAGCATGGATTGATCCAGCCATGAGCAAAACTTGATCGTCAAAATCCCTCGAAGCTCAACCAGAAACAAGAGGCAAGCATGCCTGAAGCCTTACAGACATTTTGGACAACCGCGCAGAGTGCCAAAACTTGCTCGCGCTTCAATTTCAACGCTCAGTGAGAGCCGAACGCCAGCTGTGTGCCCAGCACCAAGGCCCGAAAGGAAGGTGCAAGGAACAGTGCGCATAAGTACCTGTTTGGCAGTCAGACAAGCGCGCGGTTGCCAACATAGTGGCAAGACTACAAAACTGCCATGACATTTTTTGAATCAGGCCATGTCCAGTTTCTGAAACGGAATGTGTTCGGCCTGCTCCAACGCCTCCAGCTCGATCCGCACACCTCGCACCTTCACCTGCCAGTCCACACGGCCATGGTAGTTGATGCGCCCGAGCTTGTCCACGGAGGCCAAATCCCCGGTATCGTACACGCGGCCCAATCGCGGGTGCTCAAGAAACTTGGACCGTGTCTTCTCCTCCTCTTCCAAGTACCCGCGCGCCAGACCCACGCCACCCACGAAGAGCACACCCTGCTCGCCCTGGGCCTTCTCCTCCAAAGTCTCGGGATCCAGGATGTAGCAGCTGTATGTTGGCAACGGTCCTCCAATGGTGATAGGCTCCCCAGGGGTGACGTAGGCGCCCGTGCACACCACTGAAATCTCCGAGGGGCCGTAGCTGTTCACCAACCTGCGTCCAGGCGCCCAGGCATCCACGACGTCTGCGCCTAAGGCCTCGCCCCCGACGTCCAAAATCTTCAAGTGCGGCAGCGCGCGCGTGGACACCTCCCCAGCGGCCGACATGGTGCGCAGGTGCGAGGGCACTACGCTCATGCCAGAGATCTGCCGCTCCTTCAACCACGAGACCATGTCTGGCCCAGATTTCTTCACCAGGTCCGGGCAGGTGACGCTGGTCGCCATGGCCGCCATCGTGCCGTAGACCTCGATGATGTGCACGTCCCAAGACATGGAGGCCACCTGGGGTTGTACAAACCCACTTCGGGGCTATCCTCTTTGTTTGCTCCTTGATTTGCAGTGCTTTGCTTTTTGCTAACCGGGTTCGTTTTGCAAGGGTTTGTGCTTTGTCGAGAAAGCCAGGGCCCTACAACCCCACCTGTGCGAAGCGGTCCTGAGAGGAGAGGCCGACGTAGTTTCCCCAGATGCGTGCCACGTTCAGGGCCGACTTGTGGCGGATCATCACGGCCTTGGGCTTACCTGTGGAGCCACTGGTAAAGATGAGATAGGCCAGCCGGTCGAGGTCGTCGGGGCTGTGCCTCGCCTTTGTCGGCACCGTTGCTTCCTCTGCCTTCCTAAGGGCCAGGTCCACGTCAAGCACCACACGCGGAAACTCGCCCAAGGAGGCCGCGATGTCCGTCAGCCCCAAGCGCTTCAGGACGCCGGAGCTTGAGATCATCACGGGCGGCCTCGCCACCTCCACCCAGGTCCTGAGCTTCTGGATGGGCTCCGCGACGTCGAAGGCGCTGTAGGCACAGCGCTCCAGCATCACGGCATGCACAGCGGCGATGCTCTTCACACCGCGATCCAGGACTATTGTGACCACATGCTCGTCGGCACGTCGTCGGTGAGCTTCGGGTGAGCCTGGCTCCGTCGGCAGCTCAAGGGACTGCAGGGCCTTCCGAAGGACCCTGCGGATGGCTGTGGCCATCCTCGCCATCTGGGCAAAAGTATAGCAGGCTGTGTCCACCTCCAGGCACACGCCCTCCCCTTTCTTCTCGGCCGCCGTCAGCAGCAGCTCCCCCAAATTGGTCTCGTGCCCCGGCATGCACAGCTGTCCATCCACCTCGACCAGTTGTTGATGCAAAAGCTCCAAAGCATTCGCGTCAGCAGCAAACATGGCCGGCAAAATTACTCTACACTCCCGGCGGACTGCGACAATGCTAGAGAAGGAGCTTGCTTGAGCCAGACCCGGGAAAGTGGACACTGCGACGGGATACCTCCAAATCAGCCACAAAAAGTCTGTGTCACCTCGCAACGATCACAGAGCAAAGCAAGAGCCTAGGCTGCCAGGCTGCCAAGTGGCCACTTTCCCGCAGACTGCCATGAAGATCGGCCCAGTAACTCCATCAAACATGCCGAGAGAGCGCAGACTGAAAATCCCATCCTTGGCTTGACACAGAGCTCTGTGGACCCTCTCACCACAGAATGCGAGAAAGCGGCCGCGGGCAAGGCGGCTTTCTTCGCCCGGCGCTTCAGAGTAGGCCCCGAAGTGACGTGCTTGCCAGAATCATGGAGCTATATCGACGGTTTCCAGCTGCGCAAGTGAAACGAATCACAGACATACCGATTACCGCGAGAAAAAAGGAAGAAACAAAACTGTATGGTACTGCCTGTTTGCTGCTTGATTTCCTGCTAAGAGTGTGCTGTCTTGCTTGCTGCTTGCTTACCTCTGACTTGCCTTTTTGCTTGCCTGCTTTCTTATAGAGGCCTCGCTTTCTTGCTCCTGGTCAAATGGTCGCCGTGCTGGAAAGGCTGTGGGATGGTCCTTGCGACCAATATACACATATACAAAAACTTGTGTTGATGCTGCCAAGCCACTTCGAGTTTAAACTTCTCGCTGACACAAAGGTATCCGATGCACCTATCACTCGCTCACTCTGGGGAATTGCACAGGCATGCATCCGTCTCTGCAAGGCTTCGCAGTTTGGCCACGTTGGCCAAGAGAAAACAGATTCGGTCTTTGTTGCAGATCCTGCACAATCCCTTCCGGCCTTCGTACTACAATTCTTCCACTGGCCTTGCAAATGTCCGTAGGCGCGCCACTTCTCAAAGGAAAAACCTGCGCCTCACGGCGAGAATGGCGACCGCCAGTACAAGCTTTGCGCTTTCAAATGTGGGTCAGAACAAGATTGATCTAGAGTTTGCAATGCATCACTGCAGCAGTGAAAATGAGACACAGTTGGCTAACCTTCAGTTTCACGTGTGAAGACCTGGTCTTCGCTCTCTACCTTCTAGACAGGTGTGCAAGCCAAGGGCGCAAGCAGACATGAGAATATGCTACTTGTGGCAAAGTGAGCCAAAGCCCACAAAGCCACGGCACGGCCACGCCATCCGCCCAAGTCTGCCTCCTCTGTGCCGTCGACCTGCGCCTGACCGACGATCTTGTGTCTGCTGCCAGAGAGGCAGCATGGCTCAAGGTGCTGACAATTCAGTGCTTGTTTGGCTGAGCTGAGCTGAGCATGTGTCAGGTACCGCTGTGTGACAACTGTGGCTTTAACCTTGCGGTAGGACCGATCTGCAAGGCGCCGGTTGAGCTGCAAATGTCAATGTGCAAATGAAAACCTGACTTCTTCCCATGGTCGAACTTCTCACTGCAAAACAGTATCTTTGATGATTGTCAGCACCGCTGCCATAAAAATTGAGACAGGAAGCTGTTGCATGTGAACTGCTGGCTGCAAGATCCCCCAAAAACACTCATATATGGCACCATGTCCAACCTGGTATGGTCCCCCCCCCCTTCGGACCGCGGCCCCCCGCCCCCAACCCAAAACAACTCTGAATCAGTCCTAACGTGAGTAGAACCCTTGTCTTCGAAGCTGAATCAACCCTAAACCTAATCCAACCCTAAACCAACCCTAAAACCACCCCAAACCAACCCCAAACCAGCCCTGAACCCATCCTAAACCAACCCTACCCCACAACACAATTGCAGGACCGCGGGCGGGGGAAGGGGGGGACGAACAACCCTAAACCAGCCCAATACAACCCTAAACCAGCCTAATACCACAGACCAACCCTGAAGCCCTGAACTCGTCCCAAAACAACCCTACACCACAATCCAACCCCCGGGGGGAACAACCTAAACCAGCCTCAATCTAATCCTAAGCCTACAGCGCGATTCCGGGCATTCGACGATAACAATGCCCCCGGTATGAATCTACCTGCTGGGAAACACCCTAGAGGCAACAGCATCAAGTTAGGATGCCTCCGCCAGTGCTCGCCCCGCAACACTTCGAAGCATTGAGCCCGGTTCCGGCGGATCCCATTTCGAATCAACTGCTACAAACCAAGTCGCGGCCCCATCGCTGTCATCCAACTCAATGGCAAACTTTCCAGTCCCCACCACCAAGGACAGCAGTTTGCCAGTCTTGCCGTTCAGCGCTTCGTCCTCCAAATCTAGCAGCTTCGCCTCACGGTTTCCGCCATTCCAAAATGTACATGGAGCCAAATCGACACTTCTCCAGCCTTGTCGCCTTTCCGGAACATCACCGGCTCGCTTCTCTGCTTCGGCTCCTCCTTCTTCTCCTCCAAACCGAAGAGTTTCTGATTTCCGCCTCGCGAAGAAGGATGGTCCCTCCATGCCTCCTTCTCAATCTCCGAGAAGTCCCAGCCATCCTGAGCTGCAGCCGGAAACAAGACACTGCGCATCACACATGCATGAAATTAGAATGACAAAGTGACAAATGTTTCATGTTGCCAGGGAGCGTACTCTTTCAGCCGCCCGACCACTGGACCGCGCAGTAAAGTGCTTGTACCAGCCGGCGAGCGCCTTGATCTGTTCAGGGGTGAACTGATCCAGGGTAAAGTCCAAGCGGTTTGCCTGGGTGCAAAAGCCCCAGCACAAAACCGTAAAAGCAGAGCAGCTTCAGCGCAAAATCAGACAAAGCACATCCTCTGGCTTGAGCGACAAGGTGGCCAGGGAAAAGGTGGCATCTCTGCCTGCCCAAAGCCGGCTGTAGCCCTCGCCAACCTGACAAGCGGAGCCATTCACTCGCAATGGAGGTGCCCAACTGGTCTCTCAATGGCACGCTGTTGTGGCCAAACAGCCTCTGGTGATGTCGGCCAAAAGCACGATGGATCTCTGCGCTCCTCTCTGCCCCGCCTTTATGTTTTGACTGGTAGACACGTTGACCTAAAGCCGCACACTCGGAGGTTGCGATGGGGAAAGGCAGGGCAAGCAGGCAGTCGTCCTGCTGCTTTGTGATCTTCCGCTAAGTGAATCACACTGCTGTACATGCGCCTTCACGTCTGGGAGCCACACCGTCTACGGTGCCTCTGCAATCAAAGGTCTAGCGCATCAAGCGAATTGACTTTACACCAAGGCCTGCAGGCATTGCCCTGCCTGTAAACAACCGGTCTCTCATTTCCCCTCCATCGGTGCTTTCCTCAAGAGCGTTGGACCGCGCTCCAGGTCCAGAGCCGCCGGGGCGCCCTCGTAGACGCCGCCCGGCTCCAGGTTGCTTCCTTTCCAAGTCAGGCTGCCCGGACGAAGTGTCGCTCCGTCTCCGGCATCGCACATGGCAACACTTGCACCTGTCATGATGGTCACCCCGTGGCCGATCTTGAAGGTCGTGAACTTGAGCCGGAAATCCTCAAAGGAGTGGCATCGAACCTGGCCGTCGTAGTCCACGGTCACGTCGTCCCCCACCTCCGTAAAGGGCGCGTCCACCAGGACCATCTCGTTCATGCAGAAGAAGCGCTTCCCCACGCGCGCGCCAAGCAGGCGCAGGATGGGGGCTTGCCACCGGCTACCCGCCGTCTGAAATGGCAGCTTGAAGACCCGCTGCTGCGCAGTGAGTGCAGTAAACCAGCGTGTGACGGTGGTGGAGTAGTACGCGTTGCTGTGTGGAGCGCTATTGTTGAAGAGCAGGTTGCTCAACACCACTGAGAAGAGATACCAGGAACCCAAGGCATAGGCCATGTAGATCAAGAGCAAAGCAAAAGGCTCCCAAACCTGCGTGATCACCGGGCAGAAGCGGCGGCTGCTGAGCAGCGCCAGACCCGTGACCATGCCCTGCACGCCGCGATAGAGGAACACGTCCATGACGCTGGTGCTGAAATGGTGCCACATCCGCGCCAAGCAACTCGCACGCTCTGGGCCCTGGCGGGTGCCTGCGGATTGGTTGCCGAGGCGGCGGAACTTCATTGCGGGATTCCCGAAGTAGCTCATGTTGGGCTCTGTGGGCCGATTCGGCAGCCAGGTGCCTACACCGCAAAAGCTGCCCTCCGGAAGGCCCTGCGGCAGGTGGTTGTGATTGCCCAGGAAGGTGTGGTCGCTCATGACCGTCTTGCAAGGCACTTTGAACTGACCCTGGTCCACGTCCACACTGGTGAGGATATTGCCCGTGGCGAAGAAGCACCCGTGGCCCACCTCCAGCGTCTCTGGCAAGGTCACCTGCAAGCCCATGGCGCAGCCGTGCCCAAAGGATGCCCCGCACATCCGGATGAACCATGGCACGATGGAGGCGTCGGCCAACATCTCCGAAGCCTGCAGCACCATAGACATCTTCAGCGCAGCGATCTGTGCGCGAATGCTCACCAGGGAGCGCTGGAAGGGAGGCTGCACTTTCGGCAGCAGCCGGCAAAAGGCGGCTGTCACCAGGAGCTGCATCACCGTTTGCAGCGTTGAAACGGCGAAGGCCAGGACCGGGATCCACTTCAGCTGGTCCAGGTACATCAACGGCAAGGCGTCCACATGATCATCTGCCACCATCTCACTCCGCACCTGGGGCTCGTTCTTGTAGAAGGAAGTGATCAGTTGAAAGCCCACGGCGGCCAGCACGGGCATCGCAGCCTTGGGGATGAGGAGGACCCAGTACCCCGTGGCCAGCGCCGCCGCCCAGCGCCGGAAGCTCCGCACCTCCTCCGGCTTCACCAGGCGGCTCTGGTCCAAGGGACCCACCGCCTTTGCCGGCACGCCCGACACCCGGCTCTGCACCACCATGCGGCTGCTCACCGTGGACAGCGGCTCCACGTAGCCCGCGGGAGCCACCTCGCAGCCCGGCTCCAGGGTGCAGTTGGGGCCCACGTAGGCGCCCGCTCCCACCTTCACCGGTCGCAGCGCCATGCGGCGCTCCCCGTAGTTGACGGCCGTCAGGTGCCTCGGCCCGTGCACCGTGGCAAGCGCGTCCACGGAGATCAGGTCATAGGCCACGCACCTCGCAGTGATCACCGCCGTGGAGTGGATCTTCGCTCCCAGGGCCTTCAAGGCGAGGTTGCGCAAAAAGAGGAAGGAGATGCTGCTCCCCTGATGCGCCGCCTGCCCCACCAGCGTGCCCTTGGCCACGTGCTCCACCAGCCAATGCCGGAGATAGTACAAGCTGTAAATGTCATGATATCCTTCGCGGTAGCGCCCAATAAGAATCCACTTTGTGGCCACCAGGATGAACACACGGAGAAATTGCTCGAAGGTCAGCAAGGCAAGCAGCACGATGGCTATGAGCCACATGGGCGCCACAAAGATCATGGGCAGCAAAATCCGTTCAGCGAGGAGTAGCCGTGCTGCAATCATCACCGGCTGGGCCAAGATCGCCAGGCCCTGCACCATCGCGCACAGCTTCGGCCAGCTGTGGGGTCCGTAGCTCTTGTTCTTGCCGCGGCCCAGCATGTAGGGCCCCAGCTCGGTGGCCAGCGACAGCCTGCTCGCGGAAGCCAGCAGCCCGCTGAGGCGACTGTTCTGGGACCAGGTAGCGCTGTTCAAGCGAGCAGGAGCCTCCGGCACCGCAGTGAACCACGTCTGGCCCGCCACCACCAAGGTCTGCGCTTTGGGCGTTCGCCCAGACACCTCGGAGATCACCAGCTGCGGGCGATCCTCCACCAGCGTGGCCCCACAGCTCATCGTGGCCACGGCTGCCACCGTCCGGGCGCAAGTGCCCAGACCGGCGCTGAGGCGCACGCGCTTCGAAGGCATCAAATGCGGGCGCCACACCTCCACCAGCGCCGCCAGCTGCGAGTGGGACAGCACCAGCGGCTGGGTGCCAGGCGCCAAGGCCACGCACGCGGCGTCCTCCGCCTTGGCACCAAGGTTCGCCAGCGGCGGTTGGGTGAGGAGCGCAGAAGCGCCGCTCACGTCCACCAACGCAGCGCTGGTTTGGGCCTTCCAGGCCAGCTCCGCCAACGTCTGCGCCTCTGCCATGATGGCACAAGGTTCAAGCTGCTGCAGCTGCTCCGCCGAGTCTTCAGTGTTGTCAAGCAAGCAAAAGGCGAAACCCTCCATGCATGCCGCAATCATCGCAGCCATCTGCTGGTGTCCTTGCAAAAGGATGGCAACGGGGGCAGGACGGCGTGGCTTGGCGCGACGCAACAGCCGCTGATAGGCGCAGGCCAACCTCCGCATCTGCAGGTAGCTCAAAGCTTCGCACTGCGACTCACGGCACAGGCTGTGGGGATTCATCGCCACTGAAGCCAAGAAGACATCCACGAAGGTCTCGCCCGCAGAGTCTGCGGTCACCTCGTCGTCCGAGTCCGCGGACTCCTCGGACAGATGCTGCGCAAGCGCCTGCACCGTGGGGTGCTCAAAGAGCATCTGGAGGTCCACCTTGTGCAGCCTGGGTCGTGCGCGCATCTGGGTGATGAGCCGGCCAAAGCCGCCCGAGTCCACACCCAGGTCCTCCATGAAGTGGTCCTTGCGACTCCAAGCTTCCGTCACCTGCGGCGCCAGGCACTGCGCGATCTCCAGCTCCAGCTCAGAGCACTCGCTCTTGTCAAAGGCCTCCCATCCGTCCTGCTTCACCTCCCGCACGACCTCCTCCAAAGGCACCGCGTTCCGCAAGAGCTTTCCCGAGGCGTTGAACTTCCAGTCGCCGCTGTCAACCATTTTGACCTGGCTGAGCATGTAGCCCCGGCCCAGTGACAGCGCCTTCTGCTTCAACTCGGCCTCGCTGGAGCTGCCGGAGACCAGCAGCACCAGCCGCTGATTGTCCTCAGAGACGCGGGCCTCGCAGTGCTGAACTCCCGCCAGCTCAGCAATGGCCTGCTCGGTGGCAATTGCATTCGGACACCAAGACTGTCTTCTCCGGAAACGACTTTTCCTTCGGAAGCTCGAAAAACCATTCCGAGGGAGTTAGACCCAATGATCAGAGGAACCCGTAAGTCCCCTAGTGGAAAGCAGAACTGTTTTGTCTGGCAACCTGGCAACTTCAAGGCAGCATGGATTGATCCAGCCATGAGCAAAACTTGATCGTCAAAATCCCTCGAAGCTCAACCAGAAACAAGAGGCCCGCATGCCTGAAGCCTTACAGACATTTTGGACAACCGCGCAGAGTGTCAAAACTTGCTCGCGCTTCAATTTCAACGCTCAGTGAGAGCCGAACGCCAGCTGTGTGCCCAGCACCAAGGCCCGAAAGGAAGGTGCAAGGAACAGTGCGCATAAGTACCTGTTTGGCAGTCAGACAAGCGCGCGGTTGCCAACATAGTGGCAAGACTACAAAACTGCCATGACATTTTTTGAATCAGGCCATGTCCAGTTTCTGAAACGGAATGTGTTCGGCCTGCTCCAACGCCTCCAGCTCGATCCGCACACCTCGCACCTTCACCTGCCAGTCCACACGGCCATGGTAGTTGATGCGCCCGAGCTTGTCCACGGAGGCCAAATCCCCGGTATCGTACACGCGGCCCAATCGCGGGTGCTCAAGAAACTTGGACCGTGTCTTCTCCTCCTCTTCCAAGTACCCGCGCGCCAGACCCACGCCACCCACGAAGAGCACACCCTGCTCGCCCTGGGCCTTCTCCTCCAAAGTCTCGGGATCCAGGATGTAGCAGCTGTATGTTGGCAACGGTCCTCCAATGGTGATAGGCTCCCCAGGGGTGACGTAGGCGCCCGTGCACACCACTGAAATCTCCGAGGGGCCGTAGCTGTTCACCAACCTGCGTCCAGGCGCCCAGGCATCCACGACGTCTGCGCCTAAGGCCTCGCCCCCGACGTCCAAAATCTTCAAGTGCGGCAGCGCGCGCGTGGACACCTCCCCAGCGGCCGACATGGTGCGCAGGTGCGAGGGCACTACGCTCATGCCAGAGATCTGCCGCTCCTTCAACCACGAGACCATGTCTGGCCCAGATTTCTTCACCAGGTCCGGGCAGGTGACGCTGGTCGCCATGGCCGCCATCGTGCCGTAGACCTCGATGATGTGCACGTCCCAAGACATGGAGGCCACCTGGGGTTGTACAAACCCACTTCGGGGCTATCCTCTTTGTTTGCTCCTTGATTTGCAGTGCTTTGCTTTTTGCTAACCGGGTTCGTTTTGCAAGGGTTTGTGCTTTGTCGAGAAAGCCAGGGCCCTACAACCCCACCTGTGCGAAGCGGTCCTGAGAGGAGAGGCCGACGTAGTTTCCCCAGATGCGTGCCACGTTCAGGGCCGACTTGTGGCGGATCATCACGGCCTTGGGCTTACCTGTGGAGCCACTGGTAAAGATGAGGTAGGCCAGCCGGTCGAGGTCGTCGGGGCTGTGCCTCGCCTTTGTCGGCACCGTTGCTTCCTCTGCCTTCCTAAGGGCCAGGTCCACGTCAAGCACCACACGCGGAAACTCGCCCAAGGAGGCCGCGATGTCCGTCAGGCCCAAGCGCTTCAGGACGCCGGAGCTTGAGATCATCACGGGCGGCCTCGCCACCTCCACCCAGGTCCTGAGCTTCTCGATGGGCTCCGCGACGTCGAAGGCGCTGTAGGCACAGCGCTCCAGCATCACGGCATGCACAGCGGCGATGCCCTTCACACCGCGATCCAGGACTATTGTATTGTGACCACATGCTCGTCGGCACGTCGTCGGTGAGCTTCGGGTGAGCCTGGCTCCGTCGGCAGCTCAAGGGACTGCAGGGCCTTCCGAAGGACCCTGCGGATGGCTGTGGCCATCCTCGCCATCTGGGCAAAAGTATAGCAGGCTGTGTCCACCTCCAGGCACACGCCCTCCCCTTTCTTCTCGGCCGCCGTCAGCAGCAGCTCCCCCAAATTGGCTAGCTCCCCCAAATTGGTCTCGTGCCCCGGCATGCACAGCTGTCCATCCACCTCGACCAGTTGTTGATGCAAAAAGCTCCAAAGCATTCGCGTCAGCAGCAAACATGGCCGGCAAAATTACTCTACACTCCCGGCGGACTGCGACAATGCTAGAGAAGGAGCTTGCTTGAGCCAGACCCGGGAAAGTGGACACTGCGACGGGATACCTCCAAATCAGCCACAAAAAGTCTGTGTCACCTCGCAACGATCACAGAGCAAAGCAAGAGCCTAGGCTGCCAGGCTGCCAAGTGGCCACTTTCCCGCAGACTGCCATGAAGATCGGCCCAGTAACTCCATCAAACATGCCGAGAGAGCGCAGACTGAAAATCCCATCCTTGGCTTGACACAGAGCTCTGTGGACCCTCTCACCACAGAATGCGAGAAAGCGGCCGCGGGCAAGGCGGCTTTCTTCGCCCGGCGCTTCAGAGTAGGCCCCGAAGTGACGTGCTTGCCAGAATCATGGAGCTATATCGACGGTTTCCAGCTGCGCAAGTGAAACGAAAAAAGGAAGAAAAAAACTGTATGGTACTGCCTGTTTGCTGCTTGATTTCCTGCTAAGAGTGTGCTGTCTTGCTTGCTGCTTGCTTACCTCTGACTTGCCTTTTTGCTTGCCTGCTTTCTTATAGAGGCCTCGCTTTCTTGCTCCTGGTCAAATGGTCGCCGTGCTGGAAAGGCTGTGGGATGGTCCTTGCGACCAATATACACATATACAAAAACTTGTGTTGATGCTGCCAAGCCACTTCGAGTTTAAACTTCTCGCTGACACAAAGGTATCCGATGCACCTATCACGCGCTCACTCTGGGGAATTGCACAGGCATGCATCCGTCTCTGCAAGGCTTCGCAGTTTGGCCACGTTGGCCAAGAGAAAACAGATTCGGTCTTTGTTGCAGATCCTGCACAATCCCTTCCGGCCTTCGTACTACAATTCTTCCACTGGCCTTGCAAATGTCCGTAGGCGCGCCACTTCTCAAAGGAAAAACCTGCGCCTCACGGCGAGAATGGCGACCGCCAGTACAAGCTTTGCGCTTTCAAATGTGGGTCAGAACAAGATTGATCTAGAGTTTGCAATGTATCACTGCAGCAGTGAAAATGAGACACAGTTGGCTAACCTTCAGTTTCACGTGTGAAGACCTGGTCTTGGCTCTCTACCTTCTAGACAGGTGTGCAAGCCAAGGGCGCAAGCAGACATGAGAATAGCTACTTGTGTTGCAAAGTGAGCCAAAGCCCACAAAGCCACGGCACGGCCACGCCATCCGCCCAAGTCTGCCTCCTCTGTGCCGTCGACCTGCGCCTGACCGACGATCTTGTGTCTGCTGCCAGAGAGGCAGCATGGCTCAAGGTGCTGACAATTCAGTGCTTGTTTGGCTGAGCTGAGCTGAGCATGTGTCAGGTACCGCTGTGTGACAACTGTGGCTTTAACCTTGCGGTAGGACCGATCTGAAAGGCGCCGGTTGAGCTGCAAATGTCAATGTGCAAATGAAAACCTGACTTCTTCCCATGGTCGAACTTCTCACTGCAAAACAGTATCTTTGATGATTGTCAGCACCGCTGCCATAAAAATTGAGATAGGAAGCTGTTGCATGTGAACTGCTGGCTGCAAGATCCCCCAAAAACACTCATATATGGCACCCTGTCCAACATGGTATGGTCCCCCCCCCTTCGGACCGCGGGCCCCCCGCCCCCAACCCAAAACAACTCTGAATCAGTCCTAACGTGAGTAGAACCCTTGTCTTCGAAGCTGAATCAACCCTAAACCTAATCCAACCCTAAACCAACCCTAAAACCACCCCAAACCAACCCCAAACCACCCCAAACCAGCCCTGAACCCATCCTAAACCAACCCTACCCCACAACACAATTGCAGGACCGCGGGCGGGGGAAGGGGGGGACGAACAACCCTAAACCAGCCCAATACAACCCTAAACCAGCCTAATACCACAGACCAACCCTGAAGCCCTGAACTCGTCCCAAAACAACCCTACACCACAATCCAACCCCCGGGGGGGGGGGAACAACCTAAACCAGCCTCAATCCAATCCTAAGCCTACTGCGCGATTCCGGGCATTCGACGATAACAATGCCCCCGGTATGAATCTACCTGCTGGCAAACACCCTAGAGGCAACAGCATCAAGTTAGGATGCCTCCGCCAGTGCTCGCCCATCAACACTTCGAAGCATTGAGCCCGGTTCCGGCGGATCCCATTTCGAATCAACTGCTACAAACCAAGTCGCGGCCCCATCGCTGTCATCCAACTCAATGGCAAACTTTCCAGTCCCCACCACCAAGGACAGCAGTTTGCCAGTCTTGCCGTTCAGCGCTTCGTCCTCCAAATCTAGCAGCTTCGCCTCACGGTTTCCGCCATTCCAAAATGTACATGGAGCCGAATCGACACTTCTCCAGCCTTGTCGCCTTTCCGGAACATCACCGGCTCGCTGCTCTGCTTCGGCTCCTCCTTCTTCTCCTCCAAACCGAAGAGTTTCTGATTTCCGCCTCGCGAAGAAGGATGGTCCCTCCATGCCTCCTTCTCAATCTCCGAGAAGTCCCAGCCATCCTGAGCTGCAGCCGGACGTGGGAGATGGATCCGGGCAAACATGCCGACAACCAGAAACAAGACACTGCGCATCACACATGCATGAAATTAGAATGACAAAGTGACAAATGTTTCATGTTGCCAGGGAGCGTACTCTTTGAGCCGCCCGACCACTGGACCGCGCAGTAAAGTGCTTGTACCAGCCGGCAAGCGCCTTGATCTGTTCAGGGGTGAACTGATCCAGGGTAAAGTCCAAGCGGTTTGCCTGGGTGCAAAAACCCCAGCACAAAACCGCAAAAGCAGAGCAGCTTCAGCGCAAAATCAGACAAAGCACATCCTCTGGCTTGAGCGACAAGGTGGCCAGGGAAAAGGTGGCATCTCTGCCTGCCCAAAGCCGGCTGTAGCCCTCGCCAACCTGACAAGCGGAGCCATTCACTCGCAATGGAGGTGCCCAACTGGTCTCTCAATGGCACGCTGTTGTGGCCAAACAGCCTCTGGTGATGTCGGCCAAAAGCAAGATGGATCTCTGCGCTCCTCTCTGCCCCGCCTGTATGTTTTGACTGGTAGACACGTTGACCTAAAGCCGCACACTCGGAGGTTGCGATGGGGAAAGGCAGGGCAAGCAGGCAGTCGTCCTGCTGCTTTATGATCTTCCGCTAAGTGAATCACACTGCTGTACATGCGCCTTCACGTCTGGGAAGCCACACCGTCTACGGTGCCTCTGCAATCAAAGGTCTAGCGCATCAAGCGAATTGACTTTACACTAAGGCCTGCAGGCATTGCCCTGCCTGTAAACAACCGGTCTCTCATTTCCCCTCCATCGGTGCTTTCCTCAAGAGCGTTGGACCGCGCTCCAGGTCCAGAGCCGCCGGGGCGCCCTCGTAGACGCCGCCCGGCTCCAGGTTGCTTCCTTTCCAAGTCAGGCTGCCCGGACGAAGTGTCGCTCCGTCTCCGGCATCGCACATGGCAACACTTGCACCTGTCATGATGGTCACCCCGTGGCCGATCTTGAAGGTCGTGAACTTGAGCCGGAAATCCTCAAAGGAGTGGCATCGAACCTGGCCGTCGTAGTCCACGGTCACGTCGTCCCCCACCTCCGTAAAGGGCGCGTCCACCAGGACCATCTCGTTCATGCAGAAGAAGCGCTTCCCCACGCGCGCGCCAAGCAGGCGCAGGATGGGGGCTTGCCACCGGCTACCCGCCGTCTGAAATGGCAGCTTGAAGACCCGCTGCTGCGCAGTGAGTGCAGTAAACCAGCGTGTGACGGTGGTGGAGTAGTACGCGTTGCTGTGTGGAGCGCTATTGTTGAAGAGCAGGTTGCCCAACACCACTGAGAAGAGATACCAGGAACCCAAGGCATAGGCCATGTAGATCAAGAGCAGAGCAAAAGGCTCCCAAACCTGCGTGATCACCGGGCAGAAGCGGCGGCTGCTGAGCAGCGCCAGACCCGTGACCATGCCCTGCACGCCGCGATAGAGGAACACGTCCATGACGCTGGTGCTGAAATGGTGCCACATCCGCGCCAAGCAACTCGCACGCTCTGGGCCCTGGCGGGTGCCTGCGGATTGGTTGCCGAGGCGGCGGAACTTCATCGCGGGATTCCCGAAGTAGCTCATGTTGGGCTCTGTGGGCCGATTCGGCAGCCAGGTGCCTACACCGCAAAAGCTGCCCTCCGGAAGGCCCTGCGGCAGGTGGTTGTGATTGCCCAGGAAGGTGTGGTCGCTCATGACCGTCTTGCAAGGCACTTTGAACTGACCCTGGTCCACGTCCACACTGGTGAGGATATTGCCCGTGGCGAAGAAGCACCCGCGGCCCACCTCCAGCGTCTCTGGCAAGGTCACCTGCAAGCCCATGGCGCAGCCGTGCCCAAAGGATGCCCCGCACATCCGGATGAACCATGGCACGATGGAGGCGTCGGCCAACATCTCCGAAGCCTGCAGCACCATAGACATCTTCAGCGCAGCGATCTGTGCGCGAATGCTCACCAGGGAGCGCTGGAAGGGAGGCTGCACTTTCGGCAGCAGCCGGCAAAAGGCGGCTGTCACCAGGAGCTGCATCACCGTTTGCAGCGTTGAAACGGCGAAGGCCAGGACCGGGATCCACTTCAGCTGGTCCAGGTACATCAACGGCAAGGCGTCCACATGATCATCTGCCACCATCTCACTCCGCACCTGGGGCTCGTTCTTGTAGAAGGAAGTGATCAGTTGAAAGCCCACGGCGGCCAGCACGGGCATCGCAGCCTTGGGGATGAGGAGGACCCAGTACCCCGTGGCCAGCGCCGCCGCCCAGCGCCGGAAGCTCCGCACCTCCTCCGGCTTCACCAGGCGGCTCTGGTCCAAGGGACCCACCGCCTTTGCCGGCACGCCCGACACCCGGCTCTGCACCACCATGCGGCTGCTCACCGTGGACAGCGGCTCCACGTAGCCCGCGGGAGCCACCTCGCAGCCCGGCTCCAGGGTGCAGTTGGGGCCCACGTAGGCGCCCGCTCCCACCTTCACCGGTCGCAGCGCCATGCGGCGCTCCCCGTAGTTGACGGCCGTCAGGTGCCTCGGCCCGTGCACCGTGGCAAGCGCGTCCACGGAGATCAGGTCATAGGCCACGCACCTCGCAGTGATCACCGCCGTGGAGTGGATCTTCGCTCCCAGGGCCTTCAAGGCGAGGTTGCGCAAAAAGAGGAAGGAGATGCTGCTCCCCTGATGCGCCGCCTGCCCCACCAGCGTGCCCTTGGCCACGTGCTCCACCAGCCAATGCCGGAGATAGTACAAGCTGTAAATGTCATGATATCCTTCGCGGTAGCGCCCAATAAGAATCCACTTTGTGGCCACCAGGATGAACACACGGAGAAATTGCTCGAAGGTCAGCAAGGCAAGCAGCACGATGGCTATGAGCCACATGGGCGCCACAAAGATCATGGGCAGCAAAATCCGTTCGGCGAGGAGTAGCCGTGCTGCAATCATCACCGGCTGGGCCAAGATCGCCAGGCCCTGCACCATCGCGCACAGCTTCGGCCAGCTGTGGGGTCCGTAACTCTTGTTCTTGCCGCGGCCCAGCATGTAGGGCCCCAGCTCGGTGGCCAGCGACAGCCTGCTCGCGGAAGCCAGCAGCCCGCTGAGGCGACTGTTCTGGGACCAGGTAGCGCTGTTCAAGCGAGCAGGAGCCTCCGGCACCGCAGTGAACCACGTCTGGCCCGCCACCACCAAGGTCTGCGCTTTGGGCGTTCGCCCAGACACCTCGGAGATCACCAGCTGCGGGCGATCCTCCACCAGCGTGGCCCCACAGCTCATCGTGGCCACGGCTGCCACCGTCCGGGCGCAAGTGCCCAGACCGGCGCTGAGGCGCACGCGCTTCGAAGGCATCAAATGCGGGCGCCACACCTCCACCAGCGCCGCCAGCTGCGAGTGGGACAGCACCAGCGGCTGGGTGCCAGGCGCCAAGGCCACGCACGCGGCGTCCTCCGCCTTGGCACCAAGGTTCGCCAGCGGCGGTTGGGTGAGGAGCGCAGAAGCGCCGCTCACGTCCACCAACGCAGCGCTGGTTTTGGCCTTCCAGGCCAGCTCCGCCAACGTCTGCGCCTCTGCCATGATGGCACAAGGTTCAAGCTGCTGCAGCTGCTCCGCCGAGTCTTCAGTGTTGTCAAGCAAGCAAAAGGCGAAACCCTCCATGCATGCCGCAATCATCGCAGCCATCTGCTGGTATCCTTGCAAAAGGATGGCAACGGGGGCAGGACGGCGTGGCTTGGCGCGACGCAACAGCCGCTGATAGGCGCAGGCCAACCTCCGCATCTGCAGGTAGCTCAAAGCTTCGCACTGCGACTCACGGCACAGGCTGTGGGGATTCATCGCCACTGAAGCCAAGAAGACATCCACGAAGGTCTCGCCCGCAGAGTCTGCGGTCACCTTGTCGTCCGAGTCCGCGGACTCCTCGGACAGATGCTGCGCAAGCGCCTGCACCGTGGGGTACTCGAAGAGCATCTGGAGGTCCACCTTGTGCAGCCTGGGTCGTGCGCGCATCTGGGTGATGAGCCGGCCGAAGCCGCCCGAGTCCACACCCAGTTCCTCCATGAAGTGGTCCTTGCGACTCCAAGCTTCCGTCACCTGCGGCGCCAGGCACTGCGCGATCTCCAGCTCCAGCTCAGAGCACTCGCTCTTGTCAAAGGCCTCCCATCCGTCCTGCTTCACCTCCCGCACGACCTCCTCCAAAGGCACCGCGTTCCGCAAGAGCTTTCCCGAGGCGTTGAACTTCCAGTCGCCGCTGTCAACCATTTTGACCTGGCTGAGCATGTAGCCCCGGCCCAGTGACAGCGCCTTCTGCTTCAACTCGGCCTCGCTGGAGCTGCCGGAGACCAGCAGCACCAGCCGCTGATTGTCCTCAGAGACGCGCGCCTCGCAGTGCTGAACTCCCGCCAGCTCAGCAATGGCCTGCTCGGTGGCAATTGCATTCGGACACCAAGACTGTCTTCTCCGGAAACGACTTTTCCTTCGGAAGCTCGAAAAACCATTCCGAGGGAGTTAGACCCAATGATCAGAGGAACCCGTAAGTCCCCTAGTGGAAAGCAGAACTGTTTTGTCTGGCAACCTGGCAACTTCAAGGCAGCATGGATTGATCCAGCCATGAGCAAAACTTGATCGTCAACATCCCTCGAAGCTCAACCAGAAACAAGAGGCCCGCATGCCTGAAGCCTTACAGACATTTTGGACAACCACGCAGAGTGTCAAAACTTGCTCGCGCTTCAATTTCAACGCTCAGTGAGAGCCGAACGCCAGCTGTGTGCCCAGCACCAAGGCCCGAAAGGAAGGTGCAAGGAACAGTGCGCATAAGTACCTGTTTGGCAGTCAGACAAGCGCGCGGTTGCCAACATAGTGGCAAGACTACAAAACTGCCATGACATTTTTTGAATCAGGCCAATTCCAGTTTCTGAAACGGAATGTGTTCGGCCTGCTCCAGCGCCTCCAGCTCGATCCGCACACCTCGCACCTTCACCTGCCAGTCCACACGGCCATGGTAGTTGATGCGCCCGAGCTTGTCCACGGAGGCCAAATCCCCGGTATCGTACACGCGGCCCAATCGCGGGTGCTCAAGAAACTTGGACCGTGTCTTCTCCTCCTCTTCCAAGTACCCGCGCGCCAGACCCACGCCACCCACGAAGAGCACACCCTGCTCGCCCTGGGCCTTCTCCTCCAAAGTCTCGGGATCCAGGATGTAGCAGCTGTATGTTGGCAACGGTCCTCCAATGGTGATAGGCTCCCCAGGGGTGACGTAGGCGCCCGTGCACACCACTGAAATCTCCGAGGGGCCGTAGCTGTTCACCAACCTGCGTCCAGGCGCCCAGGCATCCACGACGTCTGCGCCTAAGGCCTCGCCCCCGACGTCCAAAATCTTCAAGTGCGGCAGCGCGCGCGTGGACACCTCCCCAGCGGCCGACATGGTGCGCAGGTGCGAGGGCACTACGCTCATGCCAGAGATCTGCCGCTCCTTCAACCACGAGACCATGTCTGGCCCAGATTTCTTCACCAGGTCCGGGCAGGTGACGCTGGTCGCCATGGCCGCCATCGTGCCGTAGACCTCGATGATGTGCACGTCCCAAGACATGGAGGCCACCTGGGGTTGTACAAACCCACTTCGGGGCTATCCTCTTTGTTTGCTCCTTGATTTGCAGTGCTTTGCTTTTTGCTAACCGGGTTCGTTTTGCAAGGGTTTGTGCTTTGTCGAGAAAGCCAGGGCCCTACAACCCCACCTGTGCGAAGCGGTCCTGAGAGGAGAGGCCGACGTAGTTTCCCCAGATGCGTGCCACGTTCAGGGCCGACTTGTGGCGGATCATCACGGCCTTGGGCTTACCTGTGGAGCCACTGGTAAAGATGAGGTAGGCCAGCCGGTCGAGGTCGTCGGGGCTGTGCCTCGCCTTTGTCGGCACCGTTGCTTCCTCTGCCTTCCTAAGGGCCAGGTCCACGTCAAGCACCACACGCGGAAACTCGCCCAAGGAGGCCGCGATGTCCGTCAGGCCCAAGCGCTTCAGGACGCCGGAGCTGGAGATCATCACGGGCGGCCTCGCCACCTCCACCCAGGTCCTGAGCTTCTCGATGGGCTCCGCGACGTCGAAGGCGCTGTAGGCACAGCGCTCCAGCATCACGGCATGCACAGCGGCGATGCCCTTCACACCGCGATCCAGGACTATTGTGACCACATGCTCGTCGGCACGTCGTCGGTGAGCTTCGGGTGAGCCTGGCTCCGTCGGCAGCTCAAGGGACTGCAGGGCCTTCCGAAGGACCCTGCGGATGGCTGTGGCCATCCTCGCCATCTGGGCAAAAGTATAGCAGGCTGTGTCCACCTCCAGGCACACGCCCTCCCCTTTCTTCTCGGCCGCCGTCAGCAGCAGCTCCCCCAAATTGGTCTCGTGCCCCGGCATGCCCAGCTGTCCATCCACCTCGACCAGTTGTTGATGCAAAAGCTCCAAAGCATTCGCGTCAGCAGCAAACATGGCCGGCAAAATTACTCTACACTCCCGGCGGACTGCGACAATGCTAGAGAAGGAGCTTGCTTGAGCCAGACCCGGGAAAGTGGACACTGCGACGGGATACCTCCAAATCAGCCACAAAAAGTCTGTGTCACCTCGCAACGATCACAGAGCAAAGCAAGAGCCTAGGCTGCCAGGCTGCCAAGTGGCCACTTTCCCGCAGACTGCCATGAAGATCGGCCCAGTAACTCCATCAAACATGCCGAGAGAGCGCAGACTGAAAATCCCATCCTTGGCTTGACACAGAGCTCTGTGGACCCTCTCACCACAGAATGCGAGAAAGCGGCCGCGGGCAAGGCGGCTTTCTTCGCCCGCTTCAGAGTAGGCCCCGAAGTGACGTGCTTGCCAGAATCATGGAGCTATATCGACGGTTTCCAGCTGCGCAAGTGAAACGAAAAAAGGAAGAAAAAAGCTGTATGGTACTGCCTGTTTGCTGCTTGATTTCCTGCTAAGAGTGTGCTGTCTTGCTTGCTGCTTGCTTACCTCTGACTTGCCTTTTTGCTTGCCTGCTTTCTTATAGAGGCCTCGCTTTCTTGCTCCTGGTCAAATGGTCGCCGTGCTGGAAAGGCTGTGGGATGGTCCTTGCGACCAATATACACATATACAAAAACTTGTGTTGATGCTGCCAAGCCACTTCGAGTTTAAACGTCTCGCTGACACAAAGGTATCCGATGCACCTATCACTCGCTCACTCTGGGAAATTGCACAGGCATGCATTGCATCCGTCTCTGCAAGGGCTTCTCAGTTTGGCCAGTTGGCCAAGAGGAAAACAGTTTCGGTCATTGTTGAAGATCCTGCCACACAATCCTTCCGGCCTTCGTACTAGAATTCTTCATGGTCTATGCAAATGTCCGTATGGCGCCGCGTGACATCTTTCTCGCTCAAGAAGGAAAAGATAACCTGCGCCCTCACGGCCAAGGAAGTTATTTGAGAATGGCGACCGCCAGTACAAGCTTTGCGCTTTCAAATGTGGGTCAGAACAAGACTGATCTAGAGTTTGCAATGCATCACTGCAGCAGTGAAAATGAGACACAGTTGGCTAACCTTCAGTTTCACGTGTGAAGACCTGGTCTTGGCTCTCTACCTTCTAGACAGGTGTGCAAGCCAAGGGCGCAAGCAGACATGAGAATATGCTACTTGTGGCAAAGTGAGCCAAAGCCCACAAAGCCACGGCACGGCCACGCCATCCGCCCAAGTCTGCCTCCTCTGTGCCGTCGACCTGCGCCTGACCGACGATCTTGTGTCTGCTGCCAGAGAGGCAGCATGGCTCAAGGTGCTGACAATTCAGTGCTTGTTTGGCTGAGCTGAGCTGAGCATGTGTCAGGTACCGCTGTGTGACAACTGTGGCTTTAACCTTGCGGTAGGACCGATCTGCAAGGCGCCGGTTGAGCTACAAATGTCAATGTGCAGATGAAAACCTGACTTCTTCCCATGGTCGAACTTCTCACTGCAAAACAGTATTTTTGATGATTGTCAGCACCGCTGCCATAAAAATTGAGACAGGAAGCTGTTGCATGTGAACTGCTGGCTGCAAGATCCCCCAAAAACACTCATATATGGCACCATGTCCAACATGGTATGGTCCCCCCCCCTTCGGACCGCGGCCCCCCGCCCAACCCAAAACAACTTTAACGTGAGTAGAACCCTTGTCTTCGAAGCTGAATCAACCCTAAACCTAATCCAACCCTAAACCAACCCTAAAACCACCCCAAACCAACCCCAAACCACCCCAAACCAGCCCTGAACCCATCCTAAACCAACCCTACCCCACAACACAATTGCAGGATTTGACAAGCATCTCCAGGACCGGGTGTACCTGGAGTAGATCAGTTGCCAGTCATTGCCAAGCATTCGGGTACTTGCTGGGGCGTGCCATCTTTATCTTTTTTGAAGCATTTCTCAGAAGGAACTTAGCTTTCAACACCTACCATGACCATGGATGCCGCGCGGTCCCTGGCGGTGCAGCTCGTGCTGAGCCCAGTGCATCGAGTTGGCGAGAGGTCCGGCTTCAGGATCTTCCCCGGCTCTGCGTCGTGCTGCTTCAAGAAGATGATGCTCTTGGTGCACCTGGACAAGTGCACGGACCCCCCCGCGCTGGAGAGGCCCTCGGTGAGATGCAGAGCATCAAGAGCTTGGTGGTCATCAGTGGTCCGGACGGTACTCGCCAGCGGCCCATGACTGAGCTGGAGGCGCTTCTGCGCCGCGCGCTGTGCGAAGCTGAGCGTGAGCCGGCGGAGATCCAGGAGCCGGCGGAGATCCGCGAGCCGGTGGAGGAGCAGGAGCCGGTCGAGACCGCCGCAGAGGTCTGGCCCTCCGTCTGCTCCTCAGCCGGCTCCTCAGCCGGCTCCTCCGTCTGCTCCTGGGCCCCGGCTCCGGGCCTCCATCTCCGTCGGCTCACAGCCTCCGTCTCCGTCGGCTCACGAGCCTCCATCCATCAGCTCACGGGCCTCCATCTCCGTCGGCTCCTCCGCCTGCTCCTCCGTCTGCTCCTCTGCTGGGGCTGATGACGACGCCGACGCAAGAGATTTTGAGAGCCTCCTTTCAAAGGTGCATTGGTGCTCCCGCGCCGACTCAGCCTCCTCGGGTTGGCATCATCGAGGTTGAGCCGCTGGAGCCTGGCCAAGGCTTCCTGGCACACAGAGATCTCAAGGCGCTTGCGCCGACGCCTTCGGAGGAGGAGCAGACGGAGGCCATGAGCCGGCCGAGGAGCCGAGGAGCCGGTTGAGGAGCAGACGGAGGCCCAGGAGCAGACGGAGGTCAAGGTGGAGGAGGAGGAGGAGGAGGTAGAGGAGGTAGAGGAGGGGGAGCTTCCGACACCCGCCCAACTGGGGCACTACACGCAGTTCAAGGAGCCCGAAGAGAAATTTCAAAACTATCGCCTTCATGTTTGAAGGACCTGTCACCGGCAACATCCCGGAGGTCCTGGACAACGGAGAGGTAACTGACGGCACGCACGTCACCCGGGCAGCTGGCCCTGGCTCTGACGCCCTACGCGCAAGTGGCAGACCTGGCGGTGAACACTGCAGCCTCCGGCAACAACGCAGCCGCCATCCAGTCGCTGGACGACCGGGTCACCGCAGAGCTGGCCTCAAAGCTGGACAGCAGCGCGCTGGCGCCGGCAATTGCGCCCCTGGCCACGGCGGCGGCACTGGCCACCACGGACGGACAGGTGGCCGCGCACGGCAGCAGCATCGCCGCGCTGCAGAGCTCGCTGACCACTGGTCTCTCCAACAAGGCAGACCAGTCGGCCTTCGACGCGCTGGAGGGCGTGGTGGCCACGAAGAGCACCCCGGACGGCGTGGATCTGAAGCTGTCCAACTACAGCACCACGGCGGCCATGAACGGCTCCATCGCCTCGGCCAACAACGCCACGCTGGCCACGGTGGCGGCCAACTACGGCCTCAAGACGGTGGTGGACCAGCACTCCCTAGACATAGCGGCGAGGATCGCCAGCATCACGGCGCTCCAGGGGGCCAGTTCAAACTTACCAAGCAACAGCCAATGCAAAATGGTCTACAGACTGCGTTGCATTCATACATGCATATCGGAGGCATCTACAATTGCCAAACCATAAGCAAACATATATATATATATCGAATATGTATATCATTTAAGCACTGGGGTTTGTTTTCCAACTGGCGGAGCTGTAGAGCTTGGGTCTGTCAGCCAAACACAAGCACAGCTGTATCACCCCCGCATTGGGAAGCAAGTACAAGAAGCAGAAAAAGCAAATTGCTCCTGTGTGAAAATGGCTCTTCTGCAAAAAGGCCTGCCTGAGCCTACACGCTAGCGTGGCGGGCTCAAGGAAAGGCGGAAACCAGTGCCTGAAAAAGGTTCCTCATCCGCTGGCGGCTCCATAGGAGCGGATTCGTAAAAGTCTGCAATAACGTAGCGCTCCAGACGATCAAGCTGCGCAGAATGCGCATGTAGCTGCCAGCCAGTCACATGTGCAAGTGAAGCAACACTGTCGTCCGAACGTTGCCTGGCTGACCGCAAAGCAGCAAGGGCCAGCCCGCATTGGTCCACATCATCGCGCAACTGCAGACAGATGTCGCGAAGCTCCTGCAGCTGCATGTCCAAGACAAGAAGGACCTCATCGCGCAGAGAGATACGTGCTCGTCTCATCTGCCACAATAGAAAGCCATACGCAAAAGCTGCTGAAATGAGGAATCCACAAAGAAAAGGGCACGCGGCACTGCCGACCGGACTGGCCGTGTCTGCATTGGTCACGATGCACTGTTGGACATCAGTCACGTCCAAACTGATGAGAAATCTTACCATCCTCTTAGAGGATGATCGTAAAGCAACGCACGAATGAAGGACCCGCTTGCAAACCACGTTTGAAAAGTAAAGCCTCAAAGAAAAGCATGCCCAATTCAACAAAGGAAGTGGAGGGAGGGGTTGAAAATGCAAGCTGGTCCAGTAAGCATGTATGCTGGCTGTTGCTTGAGCCCAAGTGGCGTATGTTGTCAAGTTGAAACAACAGTGAGTAAACACACTGACCGTTCAAACTTACCAAGCAACAGCCAATGCAAAATGGTCTACAGACTGCGTTGCATTCATACATGCATATCGGAGGCATCTACAATTGCCAAACCATAAGCAAACATATATATATCGAATATGTAAATCATTTAAGCACTGGGGTTTGTTTTCCAACTGGCGGAAGCTGTAGAGCTTGGGTCTGTCAGCCAAACACAAGCACAGCTGTATCACCCCCTTGAAAACTGCCAGAGGAAAGCGAACCTCGCCCATGGAAGCCCAAATGAAACTGTGAGGTTTGGCAATTCAAGCAAAGCAATGCTACCGAAAAGAGCTACATGAAAAAGTCGTTCATCGGTATACGCCATGGGAGAATCTGCTGGCCAAAGCGTCACTGCTTGGCGTCGAAACCACAGCTGCTCAAGGTCCAAGGGAATTCGCCGACTAAGCGGGAAGCGGTCGGGTAACTCCGACGGCTTACC